AGGACTGGTGTACACCACTATGATATGCCAAGATGCAGTAATTCTTCATATATCTGACAAATAAGCCTAGTCTTTTTTCTTGTTTAAAATTACTTGGAGAATGAATGTTAATTTCTTTTTGTTAAGTAGTAATGATTATCTTGAAAATATTTTGGCGTTATTCTTGTAAATGCACCGATATAATAGGGATTGGGGTCGACAATTTTAGTTCATCTGAGCTGAAAGGTCAAGTGAGCTTTTCTTATCACTTTTTATCGGTCGGCCGTCTGACCGCCCGTCTCTAAACGTTTCACATTTTCAGCTTCTTCTCAGGAACTACTGGGCCAATTTCAACCAAACTTGCCACAGAGCATCCGCAGATATAGGGGATTCAAATTTGTTTAAACGAAGGGCTACACTAGCTCTCTTCAAAGGAGAGATAATAAAGAATTCAGGAAAATTTAGTTACATCCTTAAAAAAAATCTTCTTCTCAAGAACCACTGTGCCAAAAAACATGTTAAAGCTTCTTTTACTACTGTACATCCAAATTTTTTCAAATATGACCCGGAGGTAGGATAGGGCCCACGTGTATGAACGAAATTTTACATTGGAATACATATAGAAAAAGATCCTTAAAAATCTTCTTCTTAAGAACAGAAAAGCCATAATTAGTCATATTTATAGTAAAGCATTGCTAGGAAGTGTGGATTCAAGGTTGTTCAAATTAAGACCCCGGGGTATGATGGGGTCACTATGGGCGATCAATGTTTTACACAAGACTACATATAAAAAAAACTTTAAAATCTGCTCTGAAGAACAACAAAGTTATGATTAGTCTTAATTATATGAAAGAATCCTCAGGTAGTGAGGATTCATGTTTGTTCAAATCATGACTCATGGGCTTGGACGGGATACAGTAGGCAGTCAAAGTTTTACAAAGGAATCTATTTTTAAAGATCTTCAAAAACCTTCTGGAGAAAAGCTAGCAAAGCCATTTCAGTCATATTAATGTGGAAGTGTCCTTATTTAATGTAGAGTTTAATGTAAAGTTTGTTCTAATCATTACCCCCAGGGAAAGGGTCGGGCTGCAATTGGAGTTTTACATACACGTAGGAATATAGTGAGAAAATCTTTTTTTTAAAAATCTCTTACGAACAGCATGGCCACATGAAAGGCATTTAATAACCAAGCATTCTCAAGTACTTTCGATTTAAGTTTAATCAGATCAGGATTCGCGAGAATAGACTGAGATTAAAATAGGGGATCAAAGTTTTACAAGGGAGTAAGCGTAGGACGAACTCTTTAAAAAAGAGTTGCAAGAACGCTTAATCTTTTTTTTATAAGCAAAGCATAACTATGATGTGTTGAGTAGATTTCTTTTTTAATTATAAGCCCTGGGGTTAAGGTTGATCCGAAATTAGAGATCCAAATTTTACAAAATGAATATATATAAGAAAACTGCGAAAGCCGGATAGGCTCATTTTTGATAAGATAAAAAATAATTAACTCTTTATAAGAGATAGTTATCTCGTTATAACGAGTTAGTATCTCGTTATAACGATTTAGTTATCTCGTTATAACGAGTTAGTATCTCGTTATAAGGAGATAATTATCTCGTTATAACGAGTTAGTTATCTCGTTATAACGAGTTAGTCTCTCGTTATAACGAGTTAATTATCTCGTTATAACGAGTTAGTTATCTCGTAATAACGAGTTAGTCTCTCGTTATAACGAGATAACTAACTCGTTATAACGAGTTAGTTATCTCGTTATAACGAGTTAGTCTCTCGTTATAACGAGATAACTAACTCGTTATAACGAGATACTAACAAAAATTTAATTTGAACAATTGATAAATGGTTGAAAATTTAATTTGCTCTGAGGTTTACTTATGATTAAATCTTAAACTATCTCGCTGTCAATAATCATGTTTTGATAAGTATAGCAACTCTAAGGCGAACACATTTACCCATTAATTCGTGGACGCCTTCTCAAATTGTTGCATTAGGACGCGATATTTATCTTAAAATAATATTGCCAAACATACTTGCTTCAAACTTTGGCAATTTATTTATGACGATTATTTCTGATGAATGACACTATTTCGACATGTTTTGGACGACTTCTACACTTCCATATATCAATTTCTATGCCGCTAAAATTAAATACCAGAGACAATATAAGTGCAACATATCGTTTATGCAACATATAATATATACGATTGCAGTGTGATACATATGTTACTTTTGAGATTCAGAAATGTTTTGAAGAAGGGGGATGGTGAGACATCAGCAGCTAGATCATAGGCGTAGTAATAGGGGGGCTAATGTCCCCACCACCACTTTTGAAAAGGGGGCGGTGAAGAGTATCTTTGTGGCCCTTCCTCCATATTTTTTTACCTGAGTAAATATCTCCCGAAAATAATGGCGAAAACTCGTAGTTGGAATATCAAATCTCTTTTTTTTCTTTTTGCTTGTCAAATATTTTACTTGGTTTAACCCCCCCCCCCTTGAACTTTGTGACTAACCTTATGCAGATTGTCCACGATGGTGAGGAATGATGAAGCAAAAATGATATTACATCTAATATTCTGTCATGATTCACTGTTTATATTTTTTGCGGGGGGAGGGGGGCCAAGCTGTGGAGATTCACGGAGACCTATTTGAGATTCACGTCTATTTGGCGGATCCTATGTTTACCACATAGTGACAAAACATCAAAACAGAGTTTACAAAACAAAACAAAAAGGTTACATAGTTTACAAAGCCAGTTCACTTTTATAATCTTTTTACTTAGGATTGATCAACGAATAGGCCTTATACTACATATGTACGTGTATATTATTAATACAACATTGAAGCAATGTCGTAATTATTTTCCTCACCACAATATTTATTATGTATACTTTGCAAGCATACAATTTTTATTTGAAAAAGAGATTTTTTTTTCGGAGGGTGGGGTGGGGGTGGGGGTGGTAATAAATAGAGGATATTCAATGTTTTATAGTTGATATGGAATTTATTTCACGAGTGGGACAGGATTTTTTTTTATATTTTCGTGAGTGCGAAGCACGAGTGAAAATATCAAAAATCCTGTCTCATGATACAATACACATTTCTAGGCATAATTTACGCTTGAAATACACCTTAATTAATGCTTATCATATTGCAAACTTTAGATATTAAACTTTCATTCTATACCCAAAAAGGATCACATGTCAACTGTTTTTACTAATGCTGACCTTCACCTTTTATTGTGGCTTCCGTAGAATAAAGAGCTCCAAAAGTTTTTTTTTTTATTCTACCACATTGATAATAACGCAAAAAATACATATTGTACATGAAATTTCATGCCAAATTGGTAAATTAAAATGTTTCTTTTTTTTTAATAAACAAAAGAAATATATAAATTATTAAGTGATAAGTACAGTATTAGTTCTTGATATTCATCATATTTATTATTGAGGGGAAGGAGGGATTGATGATAAAAACAACGTGAATTTAGTTTTTTGTCAGACATTGAATTTTGATCTTGCACCTTTAAGACGATAAAATTGAACTGGTATTCCTTGTAAACAGGCAAGGAATTATCAAAATATGAACGTTAAAGCCCAACAAATGGTTTCATATCCACATGTATAATATAATGGGATTATTTCTATGCATTTTTTATTGCGACAAATATTACGCAAAAATTATCATAATTTTAACAAAGTCAAGAAAGCTTGAACAGGGCAATTAAATCAGCCAGAGTATATCATTTTTTCTGATCTCCTTGTACAAGTTTACAAAATTTTGACGTTATATACATTCCACTTGAAGATGACACTAATTCTATTCTGCAATTTAAAGGTATAACACAACAACATGAGGTGGTCATAAGTTTCCGTATATTTGTCTTCGGTCTTTCCAATAAACAATACTAATCAAAGGCATAACTCAAAAAAACTAGTATGCTGTTGTTCCATAAAATCTTTATCACGCACACTTCAAACAAATTTGATTTCAAATTTGAACAAATTTCGCTTCTGTATATTTCCTATAAATAATGGTCTATTCTTTACTTAGATATATCAACTCTTTAGATCAATTTTTATCTCGTTATAACAAATTAGTTATCTCGTTATAACGAGATAATTATCTCGTTATAACGAGATAATTATCTCGTTATAAGGAGATAACTAACTCGTTATAACTAGAAAACTAACTCGTTATAACGAGATAACTAACTCATTATAACGAGATACTAACTCGTTGTAACGAGATAACTAACTCGTTATAACGAGATAACTAAGTAAACTCGTTATAACGAGATAACTTAATCGTTATAACGAGATAATTATCTCGTTTTAACGAGATTACTAACTCGTTATAACGAGATAACTAACTCGTCATAACAAGATACTAACTCGTTATTACGAGATAATTATCTCGTTATAACGAGTTAATTTTTTTTTTTTTTGTCTTGTCAAAAATGAGCCTTTCCGGCATTCGTAGAAAACATCTCAAAAACAACTGGACCATGTTGATCACACTGATAATGAAGCATCTTAATGTTGCGTTGATTAAATTGTGAATAAATCTTTACTCCTTTACGTCTAGATTTTGGTGTAAAACGTACATTAATCATGCAATAACAAATATTAATAAAACTATGAAAAGGATTTAAAAAAAAAAAAAAAAAAAAAAAAAAAAAAAAAAAAACTGGTGAGTGTGTGGCCCATGGCACTCTCGTTATTCAGAGTTATTGCAATGTTTACTTTTTAGAGTATGCTAATTATCCACACAACGACGAAAATGTAGCTGTAGTAATATGTGGAAGAAGAACTAAAATTCAGCATTATTATTCAAACCAATACACGGATCTAAGGCATTGTCTGGGTAATTCATAACAGTTTGTTCCTCAACATATCCAACAATTAATTTTCAAATAAATAATTTTCAGTTCATGAATAATGTTGTTTCTGTTTGCTCAGAGAACATTATAAAAACATTTTCTATTTAATATTTTATCCATTCAGATGACATTGATTTTGGAGGGTCATCTCCTCTTACAGCGGCATTCTTCTTAGCTACAGGGTGTTTACAAAATGGTGCCGGTAAGGTTTTCCACACCTTAGTTAAGTGCGAGAGAGAACTACATTGCATACTGTTTATATTTCCATGCACTATGATATTTAAAAGAATAATTATATAAAGGTAAAGGGTTATATATAAGGACTTTAAAAGTGAAAACAATATACCTTGTATTCATGTTATATAATTATTTTTGATTAATTTTTGTTTATTCAAATAGTCAGTACCTTGTCTAACGCTTATTTTTAGTACACTTTTAAAATAATCCGACGAAACACTTCTGTATCTGTTGTATACATTTAATAGCACATACGAGGAGGATTGGTGATTTTCGCGTTCATCCAAGAATAATTCTTATTTCTGACGGGAAACCCACGGACTTCACTGTTGTCAGTGATGCTGATGATGTTCTTCCATATGCAACTGAAATGGTATTCAAACAGATTACGAGTAGTAAATTCTATTACTTATTGTTCTACTCCTGTGTTTAGAAGAACAATCTATTTAAGGCTTTTTTATTATCACTATCATTCTCTTTAAATTTCTTAAAAATTAAACGCAATCATGTTCTTATTACTAGTTAATATATTTATCGTTTTACCGATTGGTTAAATCAAGGTGATTAAGCGTCCTCATGGTTAAAATATCCACCAATTAGATAGAGGGTCAAGTGAAACTGTGACGCCAAAAATGTCTTTTCTTACTTTCCACTCAATACCAAAGTTGAAATTTGCAAAATGGCTGGCATTGCACTGAGCAGGAAATATACCTCTTGTGTAGTTGTTTTCTACTTTGTAATATGTTTCAGGATAAAGACCATTTGATACAATTAACGAGAGGGATTGGAGAGCGTCACCCGATTTTTTGTATTCCCATCGGAAATAATCCTGATTTGGTACTCTCTCTCTCTCTCTCTCTCTCTCTCTCTCTCTCTCTCTCTCTCTCTCTCGTTACATTACCATGATATTTCAAGTATTAAAGCATTTTCTCACCATTACACAAAAAAAAAAAAAAATTGGGGGGAAAATTGAATTGAATAAATGTCTTTTTCTCTTCTTCACAGACGTTTTTAGAATACCTTAGTGCTCAATCAAGAGGAGGAAAGATCGTTCACCCTCGGGAAATAAGACAGTTTGCAAAGTACACTGAAAACTTGGTACCAAGCTGAAGAATTTTCTGTTTACTGAAGAGATTTTTTTTTCAGAAAGTATACTTTAATAGAAACAATATTTTTTCTACCGTTCCTGTGTACGTTAAACCTGAAAAAAAGAAACGCAAGTTAAACTTTTGAAGTGATTTAATGTTATATTTTCGAACGTATGTTCCAGTATTGTTATTTAAAATTTTAATTCATCTTTCAGCAACAAATAACTAAATTCTCATTTGATTTTGACCGATAATTCATGAATTATTTAAACTCAAATGCCGGTACCGCCAAAAGTGAAAATAGAAAAATCTCATTATCTCCTATGCCTCACTCGCAAATCTGTCACAGCCTTAATTCCCCTCTGCATGAACTTCATTAGTGCATATATCTTCCTCATAGGGTTATTATTCAACCCTTTCGACAAGGCAGCTCTTAGCTGGTCGAGAGTAACTTGGACATTCCGACGCCTTTAAACCCTCTACCGTTCAGTTAGTCCCACAGATGTTCGACTGGAGAAAAAAGATGGATTGTACGGACACCAGTCGAGTGGGTTAATATGAATATTTGCGAGAAAGTCTTGACAAACTCTGGCTACTCTGGGCCAGGGCTAAACATGCTGAATAATTACGCATAATACGCACACGAGCGCGACTGAGAGGAACATTGACGTAAACTTGACGAGCTCACAAACCAAATCGCGTAATGGGTTTCTTCAGTTTTTAAGTGAATGTAACGATTATGATTGCCTACTGTATTGAAAGAGGTTTCAGTGGTCGTAAGTGGCGATTACACAGATGACAGGATGAATAGCCCAATCTTGATGTGGCCTTGTTACTCACCAACATCATCGTCAGGGTTGATTGTGAACATTTCTAGTCCCTCTTTGATGACAGATTAGACGTTCTATGGTTTAAAAATTCACAACAAACGCAAAGCAATCTGTTTTTGCCTTTTCTTTACTTTGGCATTGCAAAAGCCAGACACCATGGACCTTCCGTCAGCAATACCATGATTACAAAAAATTCAAATTGTCTTTAAATAAAAACGATGTGTATATCTTCAATCATCAAGTGGTATTACAAGATGTGCTTACAAACCTGTCATCATCAATATGTACGTGTGTTTGGCTTTTTATCATTTTCCTTAAGTGAAGTCATACACTTCACAAATGAGTATTTCTGAACATCGATCTGAGTGTACAGTTACCAAGATACCCCTTTGACCAGTTTTCAAAATTTTTCGGTCATGCAGTCAAAAACTTTTCGCATTAATATTGTGTCACCCTGCGTTTTTTTTTTCCTTGCAGTGTATTTTTTACATTTTAAATTTGGTGTTGTAAAATTAACATATTTCTAAATCACTCATACATGAATTATTTTTGAAAATCTTTACACATTTCAAATCTTCTAGACAAGTGCTGCTCTGTTGCCGTTCACGATGAAGAATGATGGTTCTGACCGCGAAATGGTTCTAACATTGCTGGCTTGCGAATTGCCTTGGAAAGAGTTCACAGAAATGGACCAGGTAGAATACTTCAAAGACCTGTAACGATCAAAGTGAAGAGAAACAGAAGTTCTCTCCTTATTGTAGACGAATTTTTTTATGTTTAATTTTTTGGCTTTATTTTTCATAAATAATCATTTTTCATAATTTTTTTTTGTCAAGGTACATTTTTAGTATAAATGTATTTCTTAACTTAAGCATATTTTATTTACATTTATTCAGGATGATATATTTGAAATATGTTCGAAAAAGTCCCTGTACAGTTCATGGGAGGATATCAGAACAGAGATTTCCGATGAAGCGTTTGAGGAAAGAGACCGACGAATGCCTCCTTTAGGATCCAGAGTCAAGCGTGGTAGGGACTGGAAGTGGAATAATCAGGATAGTTTTGGTCCCGGAACAGTTACAGGGCATCAAAAAGACGGTAAAAGAACCTAAAATATTTGTTTTAAACCGGATACAGTTTTAAAGTATTGTAAAACCTCTACCGTTGAAGAAACATAAAACAATACTAGCAAACTAAAGATGCATGCTCTTATAAGCCCAGTTATAGGGGATGTAAAGAAGTTTCATTTTATTTTCCGTTACATTCTCACATCCATCACTTGTATATACATAAAAGATATAAATTACTTATATTAGACTGTATAGATTTTTTCTGACTTTGTATTTCTTTGAAAATATACTGAAAATAACTTGATGACTTGATTTAAAGTTTTTGTTTTCAAACTTGTATTCAATAGCTGGATGGTTAAACGTAGAATGGGACACAGGTTTCAAATATGGCTACAGATACGGTACTAATAGTACTGAAATAGATAAATATGACGTCACTATTTGTGAGGAGCCTAGAATTTTGGAAAACGAAATGATTGCGACAGGTTGCTTAGTCACAAGAGGTACTTGTAATAAAGAAAATAAAATTGAAAAGGCTGTGACATCTTGCAAAGTTTAATAAATTGATGATCTATATATATCTAGGTCCCGATTGGGAACGGGGAGACCAAGATGGCGGAGATGGAAGTATTGGAACAGTTTACAGAGTTAAAGGCAATGGCGTTGCTCACGTGCGTTAATTAAGCTATACTTTGATATATTTGAATTTTGTTTACCTGTTGGAATATAAACTTCACTTTATTTTAATTTGATTTTCTGTTTATTAACTTCTCATTTTAATAAGGAAAGAGCGATTATAAGCATTCATGCCTGCTGTTCGATCCGTTTCATTTAGCAAAGAACAAAATATTTTTAAAAATAACTTCTCATTTCTTTGTTCTTAAACCAGGTGCGTTGGGAGAATGGTCAGATGAGTGATTACAGGTTTGGTTTTCGAGGAAAATTTGATCTACAGATATGGTTAGCATCATTGACAGTGGTGTTTTATTAATATTCCTAAAGAAATCCTTGTATACGTATAAAGACTGAGACCCACGACTGATTTACATTACAGAATTGAAAGACAGTACTAATAAAATTAAATTTTCTTCATTCCCCATCCCTAAATTTTAAGACAGAAGTTATGTATGTTTGCTTGTTTATTGTTTAACGCCCCTCTCCAGAATTTTTCACTCGTATGGAGATGCCACCACTTGCTGGTGGAGAACTGCAAATTTTGACTTATACTCGGCACTTAGGGCCATTGAGCAGTGAGGGATCTTTTTCCTGCTACGACACGGGACCTCGGTTTATATGGTCTCATCAGAAGGACCGGTCTCCACGTCCCACAGTGGGATTCGAACCCGCGGCGTAAGAATCAACTCCCTTCTCCGCGACTCTAGAGCGAAAGCTCTCACCACTAATCACTAACGACTGAAGTTATGTGTGAAATATGGTTCATAGACGACTGGCAAATTCTGATAATGTCTTTTGAACTGAAATACACATGTAATTATCATTTTATTTCTTAAAGTCTTTATTTACAGGTCTGCGTTTTTTAGATTTATTTTGTTTGTTTTTGTTGTTTTTATGCATATGGCTTTTTGCACTTCATCACTGATACAATGTTCTGTGGTTGTTCAGGAAACCCCAATTATGTGTTCACTCTATATTAATTAAATTATATCGAATCTCCCTATCAACAACAGCGATCCGTTCTCACCGGAGGCTACCAGGTATCTTCAAGATCAAAAGAGAAAAGCTGCAACTATTTGCCCTGTGAATGAATCATTCATAGACGTTAATGAAAATGCTTTTTCAACAGGTACTTCGTCATATTGAAATGATATGTTCATTTCATTTTTTTTAATTATTGGCGTCTTCTATCATTAAAAATTTAAATAGATGTTTAAATACAACCTTGTAAATTCTAATTACAAATTTTGATATGCCAACACATTGTGAATTGAAAATTCATAATCTGATGTCTAATAATTTTAAAAAAGTAAGAAAATATATCGAAATTACATTGTTGTGACTGTGGAACAGTAAAATTCACACAGACATTATTTCCTCTTCAAAGCACTAACCACTGGTTCCTGCTCATCTGCTCATGACCATAATTTGAAATCTGAGAAGACATGCGAAAATCCTGTGGATAGTCCTCCTATCTTGAAAATTCCCAAGGGAAAATATTTTAAGAACGATCGAATGAATGATGAACTTTCTGACATAGAGGTGGACGGCACATTAAACTCTTTGACAAGTAATACAGTTGATCAGTGGTTTTGGAAAGATGATGATGGTAAATGGATTCCATATCCAAGGAAAATGAACGATAAAATCAACAGATGTTACAAACGAAATCCCAGTTCCACTGTCATTGTGACAATAAAGGATCACACGTAAGTGAACTTATTCTCGACTTTGAAATATATGTATATATCGAATGTAAAAATAACTATATTGTAATATTTGTTTTATTTCAGATACAGGGTAGTAATGGCAAAACACGTGCATATAAATTTGACAACAAGAGGGGAGTCTAAAGTTAAATTTGTAAAAAGTGATTTATAAAATAAAATTACTGATTTGGTTTATTATACTGTAGGTCATTGACTATACTACAAGGCAATCATTTATATGGTATCTAAAGGGAAAGTGAATTGTTACTTAAAGTGACAAAAGTTATTTCAAAAAAATATTTTCACGATTAACAAAATTGTACAAAGAAATGTTAAAATACAGCTCTAATGAATTATATGACATTTTGTCTCTTATTTTAAGTTACCATAATCGAGGAAAATGTTGATTCGTAATCAACCAGCTGTCAACTGAAAATGTCGTAAAACGCTTGTGTGAAAAAAAATTTTTATAAAGCGTCTAGCTGGTCGTTAATGGATGTTTTTGTCTATCTTGGTGTAGAGTTTGATACTTTTGACCAATCCGGCTTCATCATATAGTTGAGTACTCATACTTGATGCCATTTCCAGAAGAAAACAGGGCATTTTCTGTTGAGAGCGATTTAAACTAAAAAATGTGTTATTCGCTGATTTATTATTTCCACAATTATCGAAAGCAAATATTCTTAACATTTTTTTTTCTTTTATAATATATAAAATACATGTCGCCATTCTATTCATTGTGCTGAAATATTTTTTCTTGTCTGATAGGTAACTGTTTTTTTTTAAAAAAAGAATATCTGAAAGGTGTTTTAAATCAGAAAAATCCAGATATTGTTAAGTATTTAAGGAATGAATTTAATAGCTACCCAAGTTATACTGGTATAACCTGGGTTGGGGCAGTTTACGCTTTATAAACCGCGAAACGATTCATAAAAAAGCGTAAACTGTTCCAACCCAGGTTATACCAGTATAACTTGCGTAGCTTTTAAATTCATTCCTTTTAATTTAATTTTCCATCATTAAATGTAAAAAATAAGACAGTTTCTCCTTCGAAAATGCCTTCAAATTGTACGTATTTTAAATGTAACGTCAAGCGGATTGATATGTTTCTGACGTAAGTCATTGTGACGTAGGCAACCCAGGTTATACGATTTATTCTAATTTTTTGAACCAATCAAATAACGCGTTTCAACCAAAATTAAATTATTTATAAATGTGTATTTAATGTGTTAGCAGTATATGCATTGGAGAGTGACATACAGAAATGTTAAATCTGTCGATTTATATAATGAAAACAGAACACCGCATCTTTCCTCTCTACATGATGAAACTAAGACCATGCACTGATCAATCCAGAATTTAAGCATTGACAGATTTCGCCTTTTTGTCAAACCTTTTTGGTGGACTTATAACATGCTGGTCTTTTGCTTTCTTTGCACTTCCTCCAAAATTACGTTTCAATAGATTTCTCCTTTATTTAGACTCTGAAGATAGGGACTTATTCAGGTTAAGACGACAAATGAGAGTCATGATCTTGAAACTAAAAAAATTACCTCTGCCGTTTTGAAAGACGTTCCTCATTCTTGTGTCGAATACAGACAGCAAGGGGTGTTCGACTGTCTAATTTGGTTACACTGGTGCGAGTCCACGATTTGGATAACGTCTTGATCTTGTTCAGCATCGAGGAGACCAACAAGGTACATGTAGTTATGACCTTGCCTATGTATGTAGAAAGATTTTCTACCCCAAAAATGTGTGAAAGGCTTGTCAAGAAAACTTAACCGACTTTTTTTTTTTTTACATTTTTTTTTAAATTAAACCAATGAAATAGACGATAATAAAACATTCTCCTGACAGGGAGCTCTGAAATTCAAAATGAAATGAACTGTTCTTTCTGGAGATCGTAACAAAAGTGTTTCCATTCGTTTTAAGTTTGAAATACTCAAACTCTCATTTATTAAAATTTACTTCATATATGAATCACCATCGGTTGGATGAAGCTAAGAGGATACATCTTTCCGAATATCAGAATTTTGGATAAAAGTAATTGATATTGGAAGCGGACTCTTCTTTGTCCTTTCTGTCTTTAAGAAAAGAAATTAAATTCTCCCAAACCTTTTCGTCCTGCATGTCTTTCTCTTTGTGGAAAAATGACTTTCTGTCGTCCGTCTCGGCGTACAATATTAAAATATGAACGAACACTGCGTATGGTAGAAATTTACTGTGGTTTCAAGGTGAACAAGATCGCGTCTGCCGAGTTCACAAGCCACTGAGAGTTCAAAAATACTAAACCCTTGTAATGTCAGATAAGAAAAATGAAAGTTGTAATAACGAGATAAAAAAGTTGTTGTTATGACTTTATAAAGAGGCCAATTTGCCATGACAGTCACATGAATATTATTAGTTTCTCAAGCTTTGGTCACTTAGTCCCACTTCCACCCACCCCACCAACCCCCAGATCTTGAACTTGACTCAAATGTGATTAGCTTTTTTCTTGGGTCTTACCCAAGTATAGTCGACATTAAATAGTAAAGACACATTGCATTTCCAAACATTTAACTCCTATCTGTACTATAACAAACATAATGCTTTTCATTATTGCTTCATTCTTGACAGTGATCCCTCCTCGCCAGAGGTGATCAGCTTCTTGCAGGCGAATTGTGATAATTTAAGAGCAGGACATTGTAAGCCTTCGGGGAGATGGATAAGAAAATAGGCAATTTAGGTGGGGTCATAAAAAGCCTTCTCAGGAACTTCCGTGCGAGAAAAAGCAAAACTTATGTGAATGCTTTGTTATATATAGTGTACACTTAGATTTGATAAAATAATCACCGCTGGGACTAGGTTTGATCAGAGGTGGGTTAATGTTTGGCATAAGAATATATAGCAAGAAAATCTTTAAAATAAAAAAAATCAAGAACATGAGCCATAATTAATTTATTGATATTCAAGCATCCTTAGGGAGATTGGATTTAAGTTTGTTGTAATGGTCGTTGTGGAATAAGCAAGATGGGACTCAAGTTTTATAAGGGAGTGTCAATAATGTATCAAATGTTTCTTCCAAAGAACATATGAATTCAGATAGTAAAGCATCCCTATATCATGTAAATGTATATTTGCTCTAATCGTGAAACCTGGGGGAGGACTTAGACCAGTTTGGTTGCAATATAGTTGGACATTCAAAAGAACACAAAGGTCGTGATTTGCAAAGTGAAAGATGGAATTAAGCATCAATTTACTGCTAATTCACAATATTAAGAGCATAAACTTTAACTTATAACCATGACAAGGTGTTTTATTAATCAGTATATGAAAAGTCATTTGTCAGGAAGAGAATATTGACTCAGGTGAGCACTGTGACCCATTGGCCTCTTCTTGAATTATATTTTTTGTTAGATTTTAGAATTTCCGCCTAAAACTCCGACCAAAATTTGCTGAAACAGGAAACAAAATCCGGAAGAGACATATCGTGCACGCAAATAGTGTTTGGATCTGTATATTCCTATAAGGTAAGATTACTAGATTGTCCAGCCATGCATTATTCAGAGTCATTATAATTTTGAGGCGTAAAACTATCATTTATTTTTAAATAGAATATGTCAATATATAAAATGTTTGTCATACTTTGCATAATGACACATAATTGGATGTACATAGATTAAACATCCATGTGCTAATATTGTTTTAATATACATGTTTATGCACTTATGATGCCCCATATTACATATCCATTGTTCAAAAACGGAAGTCTTTATCAAACAAATAGAAAAAATGTCAGATGCTCAACATCATATTCTACAAATAGCTTAACTCCAAAATACCCTGGTAACTTATGGCATGTTAAAATAAAGCTACTTCTAGATTGGCGATGTAGATGGCCCTTGAATTCAAAAAAGCGCAGGAGCTCTGGCAGGAACGAGCAGTTATTGAGGCTCAAAAGAGTAAGTACTATATAACAAATACTAACAAATGCAATTTAGGTATTAATGCCCAATGCCTGTATTCTACCGCCTTTTATCATAGACTTGTCCTAGGTACGCTAGCATCCGTCTGATACCGTTTTAAGAAAGCTGCCATGTAATTTTGAAACTTTTTTCAGATCGTGAACTGCGCTATCAACATGGAAAAGGACCTTGTAATGTTTTTATATTGGATACATCTTCAAGTATTGGGGTGGAAGGATTCATACAAATGAAAGATATATTTGTACTTTAATGGATGGTAAAGTTTAGTTTTGTTATTTTGTCCTATCAGCTAACACTGTTTAATAACTTGATAAGATAAATTTCTAGCCTTTTTATGCTTACGTATTCTTCAATTTGAATTAATCCAAAATAAATTACTACGAACGTCAATCAATAATTCTGTACGTGCAAAATTTTATTATATTACATACTAGTTTTTGCAAAAATTTATTGCAAACGTTTTCTGCATTGAGTTAAGTTTTATTTCTGTACATTCTGTGTATTTCGGTCAGTAAGATGGATGTTTTGGAAGGCAACTACTAAAAGAAACGGGTGAAAATTATGGGCCATCTGTTTGTCCTGCTTAGAAAACCTAGTTTCAAAACCGAAAACGAAATTCATCCTTTATTATACGCCATTTTTATGATTTCAGGCGTGACTACATGTAAACAGATCTGGACAATAATTTTAGACGAAGTTGGTTCCGTGTCTGAAAAAGGATTTTTCCAAATTGGCAAATGTGTTGTATAGTTCAAAGTACTTCCCTATCCCTCAAACTATCGATGCATCATTTAAGAATTTTTTTGTTTTGTCACTCAGGCATATTTCATGAAGCACATTGGTGTTTCACCAAAAAATAACCCTGTGGCAACGTTCTTTGAAAAGAAATTGCGTTAAAATTGGGACAAAATCAAGGCACTTTGAAAAAAAAAATTCAAAGTGCGTTAAATTTGGAACAAAATCAACGCACTTTGAATTTCTTTTTTTCAAAGTGCGTTAAGAATGTACATCAACAGTTTTTTTACCATGGAGACACTTAACGCACTTTGAAAAAATATGTATAAAACAAAAATTCTGGACTTAGATTTTAGTAATAGACAGTATTTTAGTTATATTTCTTTCGAAAAACTGATGAATTGATCTACCCTAATCGAGAACGAGGAGAAGACTGGTAAAAGGTCCCTCAGCCCAACTCTTTATACCCAAATATATATATTTACATAACTGGTATGACATTGATATATTTTCTCTCAATAATTTTGGATTAACGTAAAATAGATGAAAAAAAATTGAGAAAAGCTTTCCTGAAAAAGACAAATAACGCACCCTATTATATTAAAGAAGAAGAGAGGCTCAGGGGCCATATCGCTGATCTTAGAAACAATAACCAACTGACTATACTTTGGCCAAAGTAGCTTTACAAAATCAAGTACAATACAAATCCAAAAAAAAAATTATATAAAAGCAGAATTTTTTTTTCATACCTCTTAATACTAATCAAATAACTGTTTAAAAAAATCATAATTGTGCGGGAATAAACAATTTTTTCATATCATTTTTTTTTATAAATACTTATCAAATAATTATTTTTAAAAAAGCCATCATATTGTGCGGGAAAATTATTTTCAATGGAAAAATCATAATTGCTCCATTTTCCCTAAGAAAAATGCTATGCTTTAAGTCACTTATCGACCCCTGCATCTATGGAACTTATCACAGACTGGATAAAATAAAAAAGAAACTAAAATTGTGCGATTAAACAATCATTCCTGCACTATTTCTAAAAGACCCAATTCCCTTTTATAACAGTTACGAGAACCTTTGGAAACAAGACAACCCCTAAAAATCTTTAAAACATCTATATCTCAGATCCTGACGTCATCACCGAAACGTCATCCAACCAGGTTCAAATATTTATTTACCATACCTACAATTTGCAAGAATATTGACGAAGCCGTGCACATTTTTTCTTCAAAGTGCGTTAAGGAGGCTGGGGGGTCAACAAATTAACCACAAATTAACCACCAGATTTAACTTAATTTTTTAGATATGATATCTTAAGCTGTCAACTATCATTTGGCAAAGAAAAATTTAAAAATTTTAGTTTTAAAATTTGATCATTTTCTATATCTTCATATGGAGCTCTTCTTCTAAAGGAGATCAATATAGTCTAAAAATGGCCACAACCCCCCAGCCTCTTTAATATGGTCGATACTAACGCACTTTGAAAAGATTTTTTTTTTCAAATTGCGTTAACTTGGTCCCAAATTTAACGCACTTTGAAAGATTTTTTTTCAAAGAGCGTTGCAACATAGCCCACGTAAGGGCCTGTATGATTTACACACCAATAACATTCACAAACTAAAAAACATTCTTTATATTTACATTTACACTTTTTTTGATTTTTTTAAAAAACGACAAAAAGGTATACACAGTTTGAATTTCCAGTAGAACTAGTAGCTTCATTAGACTGTAGATACTATGTATACTAGTATCAAATTTTAATTCAATTAAACGTCTCTGATTAGAATTGTATATCCAGAGTCTTTTGAGATGGAAATCAAATAAATTCAAATTCAAATTAAATGATCCGATATGTGTGGATTTCGATGAGAATTAGTTTGTATCTGTCCCAATATCTGCAAAACCAGTCTTGACTGTTCTTAAAGGATATTTGTAATTGATATTTTTAAAAGATGGGATTTTTGTATAACTTTATCACGTTTGTGGAACTAATTATTACAATCTTTTCTATACTAGAACTTCATTTTTAGAATATGCTAAGTATCCGGACAGTGATGAGAACGTAGCCGTTATAATATGTGGAAAAGAAACTAAATTTCAACATTATTACTCAAATCGATACACGGATCTAAAGCATTGTCTGGGTAAGTTTCATTTTTGTTAGCTCCTGGAAAAAAAATTTGCATATCGGCGATTCTTTTCCGTTTCCAGAGTATCTAAGAAAATATTTACCCGTTGTAATTTCCAGATAAGAAATTTAAGATTGATAAGTAATATACATAATTATGCCAAATACAGTTCTGTAGGAAAAAAATTCAGAATGTTTAAAACCCGCAAGGGCAAAAATATATATGAAACAAACATCTTTCCTAAAACATTGTTCACTCGGTAAAGCGCTTGTTTCGTGATCGGATCATTTTGGACATTATGAACATGAAAAAGAAATCACTAGTTTTGTTTTGTTTTGTTTTGTTTTTTTTTTACAAATAATTTACATTTTCCATTAGTTTAGATGGGGTTTACAAAAAAAATTAAGACCTACGACTAACTTCAAGTCCAGATAGATAGATTTTAAAGAATTTTATCTTTTAAAACATTCCATTTGTTTAGATGACATTGATTTTGGAGGACCATCTCCTCTTACAGCGGCATTCTTTTTATCTATAGGATGTTTTATGAATGGTGCAGGTAAGTTTTTTTTTAGCTATATAAAATTTAGAAATGATATGGCTTTAAGGGGACTGTCTGGGGTTTTCATTGCGCAATACTTCGCGCAGCATAGTAAAATAAAGCGTATTTACTCTTTTAAAGCAACTATTTTTACATAATTTATAAAAATTAACAAAATTAGGAAATCTCATTATGTCATAAAATAAAAAGTATAAAATAGATGCTCTTGGAATTTTAAACACAGGAAATTGAGAATCTCACAATCATTTTTATTAGCTCTACTGGTCAGAGACCAGAAGAGCTTATGCGATAGTAAGGTGTCCGTCGTCCGTCCGTCTGTCTGTCTGTCTGTCTGTCTGTCTGTCTGTCTGTCCGTCTGTCTGTAAACAATTTTTCAAAACGCTACTCCTCCTACAGTTTTGGTCCGATTTCAATATAACTTGGCACACAAGTAGACTACACTAAGATACATAATTTAGTGCATTGGTTTTTGATTTCGATGGACGGTGTTGTCATGGTTACTAAAAATAGAAATTTCTGTGAAATTCCTTTAAAACGCTACTCCTCCTACAGTTTTGGTCCGATTTCAGTATAACTTGGCACACAAGTAGACTACACTAAGATACATAATTTAGTGCATCAGTTTTTGATTTCGATGGACGGTGTTGCCATGGTTACTAAAAATAGAAATTTCTGTGAAATTCCTTTAAAACGCTACTCCTCCTACAGTTTTGGTCCGATTTCAATATAACTTGGCACACAAGTAGACTACACTAAGATACATAATTTAGTGCATCGGTTTTTGATTTCGATGGACGGTGTTGCCATGGTTACTAAAAATAGAAATTTCTGTGAAATTCCTTTAAAACGTTACTCCTCCTACAGTTTTGGTCCGATTTCAATATAACTTGGCACACAAGTAGACTACACTAAGATACATAATTTAGTGCATCGGTTTTTGATTTCGGTGGACGGTGTTGCCATGGTTACTAAAAATAGAAATTTCTGTGAAATTCCTTTAAAACGCTACTCCTGCTACAGTTTTGGTCCGATTTCAATATAACTTGGCACACAAGTAGACTACACTAAGATACATAATTTAGTGCATCGGTTTTTGATTTCAATGGACGGTGTTGTCATGGTTACTAAAAATAGAAATTTCTGTGAAATTCCTTTAAAACGTTACTCCTCCTACAGTTTTGGTCCGATTTCAATATAACTTGGCACACAAGTAGACTACACTAAGATACATAAATTAGTGCATCGGTTTTTGATTTCGATGGACGGTGTTGCCATGGTTACTAAAAATAGAAATTTCTGTGAAATTCCTTTAAAACGCTACTCCTCCTACAGTTTTGGTCCGATTTCAGTATAACTTGGCACACAAGTAGACTACACTAAGATACATAATTTAGTGCATCAGTTTTTGATTTCGATGGACGGTGTTGCCATGGTTACTAAAAATAGAAATTTCTGTGAAATTCCTTTAAAACACTACTCCTGCTACAGTTTTAGTCTGCTTCTAATATAATTAGGCATACAAGAAGACTATACTAAGATACATAATTTATTGCATTGGTTTTTGAATTCGATTAAAATAGAAATTTCTTTGAAATTCCTTTAAAACGTTACTCCTCCTACAATTTTGGTCTGATTTCAATCTAATTTGGCACACAGTAAGAATACACTACGATACATAATATGTATTTCTGTTTTTTTTATTTGGGTGAGTGGTGTTGTCATGGTTACCGGTACTAAAAATAGGAATTTCCGTGAAATACTTTCAAAACGCTACTACTCCTAGTTTTCATTTGATTTCAATATAACTTGTCACAAAAGTAGACTACATTAAGATACATAATTCTATTTATTGTTGCATGTTGCAATGATTCAAATCCAAGTGCTACTTTTCTTTTGTTATACAAACAGACCAGTAGAGCTACAGTCTCATCAGAGACTTCTGGTTATTTTTTATATAAATTTGTGGTATCTGTCATGTTTTGTAGTACTCCATAAAAACAGGAAAATATCATGAATTTTGATATTTTGAGATGCCCCCCTCTGGAACCAGACGGTAGAATTTAGTGTTTCTTGCATAAAATATGCAATATAGTATTACTCATCAAATACTATAATTTGAGCAAAAAGTCTATAGTAGCATTTGTATAATTTGCTCCGAAGTGCGAAAAAATAGTATTTTCCTATATAATCCTATAGTAAATGTACCTGTATTTTGAGATGGTCCCTTAAAAATAACCAGACGGTAGATTTTCACTAAACTTGGCATTTATACTGAAATCAATGTAAGGTACATATGGTATAAAATCAAAGAGTTTCTCTGTAGTAGTTTTCACACAATGAAACCCCAGTCGGCTCCCTTAAATTCCCTCCACAGGTAACTTTAAAGAGAAAACATTAGTTTTAGATTCGTTGTATTTTCGATCAATTTTCCGGTCAATACTTAAACAGTGAATACATATTTATAAGCTTATATTTTATAATCCTTGCATATAAAAAATTGGATTTTTCTGAGATTCCAGTCAGTATGCATAAAATATGAAAATAACGAACAGTTATATAGATCAAAAGTCCATTGAAAAAATACAAATTTGGAACAGAGCAAACACGGACCTCTAAAAACATCAGAGGTGGGATCAGGTGCCATGGAGAAGTAAGCCTTCCCTGTCGATCGTTCGTTTTATGATTCCAGTTCCTTGTCATGATCGGGCAAACAGAAAAATCAGTAGAATATTTAGTGAAAATTCAGTAAAATTGTGATTTCAAATTCTCTAAAAGTTCCTTGGAGTTTTTAAGTATCCACATCTGATTTACAACACTTCTCCAATATATTGTTGTGTAGTACTCCTAAAATTTCTCCTTCACTGCAGTTAATATTTTAGTGAGGAGTAAGGAAAGAAGCTCGGTACAACATTTACTGGAACCCGCTATGTATCTTTGTTTGTAAGGATTTTTAATAAAAAAAAAATTATGTAGTTTAGGAATCCAGTATAGGTATGATATTTCTAACTCAAGTTGATTGTTGGGAATATTAAAAATATCTAAAACTGACATATGAGTTTGAAGAATTTCCTCCTTGGAAAGGAAACTATAAGATGGATAACAACTTGCAGAATTAAATCTAAGTTCCTCTAAAATACAATTGAATTAATAAACCTTGCAAACAAAGACAATGTTGTTACCTGCTTTGTCTATAAACAATTTAAATAAGCTTTTTAAAATATATGATAAATCCCTTTTGGGTACAATGTATACAATTAATAGGACACACAAGAAGGATTAGAGATTTTCGCGTTCATCCAAGAATAATTCTTATTTCTGACGGGAAACCCACGGACTTCACTGTTGTCAGCGATGTTGATGATGTTCTTCCATATGCAACTGGAAAGGTACAATGTATTAGTATTGAAATCATTCCAAACCAAAAATGAAAGGCAAATCTACATCTTATAAGAGGAAGTAATTTTTGGCATCTCTTTGATATTTATCAGAACAATTTTCATATAGGTAAACTTGAAAACTTGGTCATAAGAAAAGAGCTGACATACAATTGTTAAAATATATGCTGTAATATTTAGGAAAAGTTGGTTTATATGTGTTCAGATAAAAATCGTATTTATTGCTTTACTTTTTACTTTGTTCACATATTTCAGGACAAAGGTCATTTAATACAATTAACGAGAAAGATTGGAAAGCATCACCCGATCTTTTGTATTCCCATCGGAAATAATCCTGATTTGGTACTCTCTCTCTCTCTCTCTCTCTCTCTCTCTCTCACACACACCAAATGTATAGATAATTCATGTGCATTTTTACTTCTTATTTTCAACCCATTTGCGCTTATTCTTAGTGTTACAGTGTATTTGTTTGATTCGTTACAGACCCTCTTAGAATTTCTTTGTGCTGAGTCCAGAGGAGGAAAGATCGTTCACCCTCAGGAAATAAGACAGTTTGCAAAGTACACTGAGAACTTGGTATCTAGTTTTAAAAAATTTTGTTTTCTTGAATTACTGCTTGTCTTCTTGTAAACATCTTGCCACAAAATTCAAGTAATTGAAATGTTTTTATCTATATTTAATTCCTATCAATTCAGTTAACTCAATTATATTTTTTGACTAAAAAAACAAACGTTGGCACTGTATTGAAATTGAAGCAGCATTTCTACACAGCTCATTTTTTGAATTAGTTTGGTTAAAATATCAAAATTGTTTTATTTAGACAAGTGCTGCTATGTTGCCGTTTACGATGAAGAATGATGGTTATGACCGCGAAATGGTTTTAACTTTGTTGGCATACGAATTTCCAGAGAAAGGATTTACAGAAAATGACCAGGTAAAAACATATATTAGTTAGAACACCATGAAAATAAGAGCAGTTCTTTTTAACAGCATAAATTTTTCAATTGCTTTGTTTAAAAATTGTTCTATTCTACAAAATTTCAATCATCTTTTTTGTTTTGAGTGACACTTTTTGATTTTTTAAGTGACTTTTTTTAAAAACTTCCGTCTATTATGACTTTTTTGATTTACCTATATTTTTTACTCATCGGAGCAGAAGGGCTTTTCTGATCAGAAAGTGTCCGGCGTCTGTCTGTCTGTCATGTTTCGTGTGTTGTCTGTAAACTGTTCACACTTTCGACATCCCCAGAACCACTAGGCCAATTTCAGCTAAACTTGCCACAAAGCATTTTTGGATGAAGGGATTTAAGTTTTAACAGGAAGTCCCACGCCCCCTTTTAAGGGGAGATATGTTTCATTTAGGAATTCGTGAAAATTTGGTGGCATCTTTTAAAAATCTTGTTCTCAAGAACCACTGAGCCAGAAAAGAAACTTATGTGAAAACTTCATTACATACTGTAGATTCATCAGTTTGATCAAATCATGGCCCCTAGGGGAATGGCTGGGCCAAAACAAGGAATCAAAGTTATACATACGAATATATAGGAAAATCTTCTTCAAAAATCTTCTCAGGAACAGCTAAGCCATGATTAGTAATATTTTTATAGGAACATCCTCATGTAGTGTAGATTGAAGTGTATTCAAAGCATGTCCCCTAGGGGTAGTAGGTTCAAATCAGAGGACCAATGTTATATATAAAAATGCTGTAAATCATTTTTTATTCGCGAGAACTTTAGTTTCGCGAAATTCCGTGAGAGGGTCTGCTCGCAAAATTTCAATCTCGCGTACATTTTTGTTTTTATAGATTATAAACAACAATGCCTAGATTTCGTGAAAATTTTGTCTTGCTTATAAATATCTTAAAAATAACTATCTCGCGAAAATAACTGTGTCACGAATATTTGGTGATCTACTGTACATAAAAAATATTTTTAAATATTTCCACAGGACCAGCAAAGCCATGATCGGTCATATTTATATGAAAGCATCCTCAGATAATGTAGATTGAAGTTTGTCCAAATCATGACCTCTCTGGTGTAGGGTGGGTCAGATATGGTTTTACATCAGAATATATAAGAGGAATCTTTAAAAATCTTTTACCAGGAACCTCAAAGCCATGATTGGTCATATTCATATTGAAGCATCCTCGGGTAGTGTAAATTCAATTTTGTTCAAATTACCGGTATGACCCACGGTAGTAAGGTAGTGCCACAATGGGCATTGGGCAGTCAAAGTTTTACATAGTGAAAATCTTTAAAAGTCTTCTCAAGGACAGCAAAGCCATAATTAGTCAAATTTATATGGAAGCATCCTCAGGTAGTGTAGACTGAAGTTTGTTCAAATCATGCCCCCCTGGGGTAGGGTGGGGCCATAATATGTGATCAAAGTTTTACATACGAATATATAGGGAAAATCTGCTGATGAAGAACATGAGGGCCGTAGTTACTTAGGTGAGCGTTGTGGCCCATGAGCCCCTTGTTAGCAGATCTATGTTTTAAATATATATGTATATATTTAGGATGATATATTCGAAATATGTTCAAAGAAGTCCCTGTACAGTTCATTGGAGGATTTAAGAACAGTACTTGTCGGTGAAATCGATGATGTTTTTCAAGAGAGAGACCCTCGAATGCCTCCTCCAGGGTCAAGGGTCAAGCGTGGACGAGACTGGAAGTGGAATAATCAGGATAGCAATGGTCCTGGGACTGTTACTGGGCATCTCAAAGAGGGTAAAAAGAGCTTACAAGTAATCGTATAATATGTTTAAAACCTTGATCAACATAATGTTCCTTCCAGTTGAAGATACTATATATATCGGAAAATCTGCAATCTCCTTAAAACCCCAGTTTTAGAAGACACATAGAATTCTCATTTTGTACATCGTCTGTTTCATTTACCTACGTACACGTAATATCTCTTCGTTGCCTTATGATAATAGAAAGATTATATTATATGACAGTAAAATATCTTTTATCTGTTGAAAAGTAATTTGATGACTTTGCTTTAACTTTTAATATTGGTTTTTGATAGCTGGGTGGTTGAATGTAGAATGGGATACAGGTTTTATACATGGATACAGATACGGTACTACTTGTACTGAAATAGATAAATATGACGTCACTGTTTGTGAAGAACCTAGAATTCTGGATAATGAAATGATTGCCACAGGTTGTTTAGTCACAAGAGGTATTAGAAATACAACAACAGCATGAAACAAGCTGAAACATTATGCAAAATAAAATGAATTGACCGAATCAGGATATTTATAGATATGTATATATCTAGGTCCGGATTGGGAATGGGAAGACCAAGATGGCGGAGAAGGAAGTATTGGATCAGTCTATAGAATTATAGGCATTGGCATTGCTCATGTGCGTTTAAACTATAGTTATATCTTTTTTCATTTTTATAAACCTTTTTTGTATTTAAATTTGTATTTAATTTTCATATTTTTGACCAACCAGGTGCGTTGGCAGAATGGTCAGAAGAGTGATTACAGATTTGGTTTTGAAGGAAAATTTGATTTACAGATCTGGTTAGCGTCATTCACAAAGTTGTGTGGTTAACATTCTTAGATATTCAGAATCTAAAACAAATCTGATCTGGATTACAGAAATAAAAGAAGTATTTGTTGAGTTCTCCTCCCCTTAATTTAAATTAATTTAATTAAATCTTGTGAGCTTAACATGGTTCATAGACATTCCCACCACCCCATTTGCCCAATCATGCATGTGACCTCTTTTGGCCTTATCACTTCAGGAAAACCATAACTGTGTGTTCACTCTATAACAACTTTTTTATAATCTCGATATTCAAACAGTGATCCATTCTCACCGGAAGCTATTAGTTTTCTTCAAGACCAAAAGAGAAAAGCTGCAATGAGTTGCCCAATTAACGAATCACCCATGGACGTTAATGAAAATGCTTTTTCACCAGGTGTCTCTTTCCTTGATTTTTTTTAATATAATGAATTAAAACAAAAAAATAAAATTATAAAAAAAAAAATCCTAGTATACCGAATTTTACTATTTGTTACAGTGGAACTGTAATTTTTTTTTCTTCTATAAAGCACTAACCACTGGTTCCTGCTCATCTGCTGATTATCATAATTTTAAATCTGAGAAGACATGCGAAAATTCTGTGGATATTAGTTCTTCTATCTTGAAAATTCCCAAGGGAAAATATTTTAAGAACGATCGAATGGATGATGAACTTTCTGACATAGAGGTGGACGGCACAACAAACTCTTTGACAAGTAATGCAGTTGATCAGTGGTTTTGGAAAGATGATGATGGAAAATGGATTCCATATCCCAGAAAAATGAACGATAAAATCAACAGATGTTACAAACGAAACCCCAGTTCCACTGTCATTGTGACAATAAAGGATCAAACGTAAGTGAGCTTTTGGAATATGTGTATAATTATACATATGTATATCGAATATCAAAAAAAAACTTTATTATATTATTTTTAATTACAGATACAGGGTTGTGATGGCAAAACATATGCATATAAATTTGACGACAAGAGGGGAGTCTGAAGTTAAATTAGTAAAAAATGATTTATAAAATAAAATTACTGGTTTGGTTTGTTATACTTTATTAACTACTACAAGCAGGCATTCCTAAATGGTTATAAGAGGGGAAATGAATTATTACTTAAAGCGACAAAATTCATTTCAAAAAATATTTCACGTGAACACAGTTTGAACAAAAACCATGTTAAAATGCAGCTCTAAAGGGGCTAGTTGATTATATTGGATTTGGGGGGGGGGTCTATCTTGATGTAGTTTTTGACCACTCTGGGATCACAATTTAGTTCAATGCTAATACTTGACGTCATTTCCAGATGTCCTTTCATAAGTGAGTAAGATTTAAACTTAAGTATGGCTGTAACTCGCTTAGCAATGAATCTATATCAATTGGATGTAAAAATTCTTAAAGCATATTTCTTTTTACTTTTATAATATTGAAAATAGCATGTCTCAATTCATTTCATTTTTCTGAAACAAATTTTCTTGTCTGATAAGCAACTAATTTTAATTAAAAAAGTAATAAATCTTTCTTATGACAACTGTCTTCATCTGACACGATTTTATACAATATGAAAACAGAACACCCACTCCCACATCTTTACTCACTACATGATGTAATCAAGACCATCCACCGATCAAATAGATTTCATCTTTTAGTCAAATCTTTTTGCTGGACTTATAATATATGGGCCTTCTGCTTTCTCTGCACTTCCTCCAAAATTACACACATTTAAATAGATTCCTCCTTTATTTAGACTCTGAAAATGTCAGGACTTGTGCTCCTTTTGGTTTAGAAAACTATGATTATTATTTTTACGAGAGTCATAATCCTAAAACTAAAAAACGATAACCTTCATCCCTGAGAAAGATGTTCCTCATTCTTGTGTCGAATACAGACACACAGACACCAATTTTTGTCCAACCGTCTAATTTGGTTACATAAGTGCGAGTCCATATGATTAAGATAACTTCTTGATCAACAATAACCTGGTCATATCTTTTTCTGTGTATAGATTTTCTACCACGGGACAATCAAATGGACATCATTGACTTCTGCGAAACCTCATAATTAGCTAAAAAATAGTGTGAAAGGTTTGTTAAGAAAAAAATAACCGACTTTTTTTTTTTTATCAAATCATTCAAATAACTGGTAATTAAACATTCTCCTGACAGGGAACACTGAAATACAAAATAAACTGAGCTGTTATTTGTAGACATGGTTACAGAAGCGTTTTCATTCGTTTTAAGTTTGAAATAAGCTCAAGCACAACTCAAACTCTCATTTCCTTAAAATTTTCCTCATGTCCAAACCAAAAAAAAAAAAAACATAATAATAAAAAAAGATCTGAATAAATAATTTCCATCATCATATATATTTGAATCGGGACAAGCACAGAAAGAGCGTGGCTTGGATAAAGCTCAGGGGATACCTGGATACATCTTTGAAATATCCGAATTCTGGATTTCGGTAATTAATTTTGGCAGCCAGGGGGTATTTCTTTGGTCTTAAAAGAAAATTTAATTCTATCAGACCCTTTCTTCCGGCATGCATTGTCTCTTCGTCGAAAACTGACTGATCTCTCAGGCCCGTAGGAAGCAATATCACTTTGAGGGGACACAACCATACAATTTTCAGTTGAGGGGGCACTATCGACTACCAAAATTCCTTGACAAGTTAAAAAAAAAAAAAAAAAAAAAAAAAAAAAAAAAAAAAAAAAAAAAAAAAAAGGTCATCAGACGTTATTATTGAGGGGGCACAAGCATGTAGTAGCTATGTTTTCTATAGTATTCTATATATCGGCAAAATTATTGGGGGCCCGTGCCCCCCCCCCCGTTCCTACGGCCATGTCTCTGTTGTCCGCCTTTGTCTTGGCATGAATTATTAAAGTAAAGTCGTCCGTCTTTGTCTTGGTATAAAATTACAGTGTACTTTTTGGACACAGGAAGTTTAATGGAAAATGTAATTCATATGATTTAAAGTTTTTAATTATTTTACACCATTTAAAATCTTTCTTCAATAACGTCAAAATGCAACAGGAAAGTAATTATAGTCAAAGGCTCTGCGACCTGCTGTGAATTCCAGAGGTAACATCGTGATCATAATTCCGGAAGTACACTGGTTTTCGACAAGGACTTTGATTTTAGTCTTCAATAATCGTCTTCCTACATGAAATTGGTGTGGGTGAAAATAAAGACAGAGAAGACAGAGGTTTTCTGTAAGTCTTACTGTTATTTTACGCCGTTTGATTAATCAGCTGATAGTCAGACATTGTATTCCAATATAGATAAAGACTGTAATCAGTCAACGTTTTACAGGAATTGATAATTCATTGGTTAAATGAGTTTAATCATCAATCATATTTTTTTTAAGTATATCGTTATTGTTAGACTTACAAACGTCCTCGATAAGAGTAAATATATTCATGTTTTAAGTTCTTTACAATACTTTAATTTCATAATTATATGGCACGTGGCCAGTGACTTTTAACAAAACGAGATTTTTTTCAGGTAAAAATGACCAGATTTGCTCGTGCATCAGATGGAAACAGAAAAAGACCATTGGATGCCACAGAATGGAATGAAATGAAAGAAAGTAGGAAGAAACATAAAACAGACAAAAACCTGAAAAAGAAGGTAGATCAAAATGATGGGGGTAAGAAAAGTAAGCATGACAAAACAAAGACAATGAAGTCAAAACAAGATGATGATCATAAGAAAAGGAAAGGCAAATCAAAGAAAAAGAAGCAGAATGATTCATTGAGGAGTGATAATGAAAAAGAATCCACATGTCAACAAACCAGTTTAGAGTCTCGTCTTCGGAATCTTTCACAAGTGACAACTCAAGATCTTCAACTCAAAGAAGCTTACAAGAAAGTCAAAAGAAGTGAAAACAGAAGATTGCAAAGAATCCAGAAAAGACAAGATGAAACGGTATGTCATTTTCAAATCCATAACTCAATTACATTTTGAACTTAAAACAGTGAAAGTAATAATTTTAATTTTTGTAGTTTTGACACTTTGCATAATCATCATACATGTTTTGGTTCTTTCTTTAGATATGTTACAATTGTCGAGAATCTGGTCACCAGATGTCTGATTGTCCGGAGGTTAAAAGAGACGTGGAGCAGGGTACTGGAATCTGTTTTAAATGTGGATCAACAGAACACTCTTCTTCAAAATGCTCTGTCAGACTACCACCAGGTAACTTTAATTAGTGTAATAAAAGCTCTAGAAAGTTTGCCCCTCCAGGGATAAACATTAACTTTCAGATTCACTTGCCCTTCAGGCAAGTGAACTCAAACTTTGACTTGTCTGAATGCAAAACTTGGTTGCCCAAAATTTAGAAAGAAGGGAACCAGTATCTTAATTTATTATTGTAAGTAAAGTGAGATATTACTTTATATTTGGCAAGTTAAGTGCCAGAAAAAAAATGTGAGGTGTTGCTCATGCTACATTTTTAATACTTGTGAACTCACACTGCCAGGGCAATATTTCCTTTAAAATAAAATTCATTTTTTTGAAATTATTTTCTGTGCAATCTTTTTGTGAATTTTGATTTTTTTTCCCCTGAAAAAAACTGAAGCAACGCTAAAGGAAAACAGTTGCCATGTTTCAAAACATACATATCCTGATCAAAATACATCGTTTGCCAAGAATAACTGGTGTTCTTTATATTCTGTGAGTTAATAAATAAACTATTTTATACTATCTTATTTCATCATAAAAATGTAAAGAAAGTTGTCAGATGGAAAGCGTATTTTTGTCAACTACCACGAGGAAAGAAAAACGGAATAACGAACCCGATTTTTTAATAAATGGCATGATCTAGAAACGCTACCGAGGAATTTCTGAATGCAAAAACAATGTCAAATTCCTGGTAGAAATCTTGTTCTGTTTATAAACTAATGTAAGATAAAAGAAAATCTATCAGAAATATTCACATGCCTGATTGGACAAGTACATCAGCAGTTTCACTTGCCCGAACTGAGAATTTACTTGCCCCAGGGAATTGGACAACCATTAAGGAAGCTCTAAACACTGCACACTAAAGAGTTCTAATTGTAGGGTAGTTTTATACAGTTAGAGTGATCTGTCCTTAGAAGTAAGATAGAAAAAAATGGTTAGTTATAGTTAATTACACAATTTTTAATAGATTAAAATATTCGTAACATTATATTAGACCAAGAATAAGTAATTGAAATCTTTATTTCCATTAATTTTCCCAATGTTGGTAAACAACAGTGATTTCTGTTCACGTATAGTCAATTGTCTGTGAACATTTTTCCTGCAGAAATAAGGCAGGTACCCTATGTTGAAAATGAATTGAATAGTCTCAATATGCACACCTTTATATGATATATTTTTCTCCAAGTCCAAAAAGCACTTTTTGTTAGTGTTTAGAGCTTCCTTAATGTCGATCCCTGCCCTCCATGTAATTATATTTATCAGGACTTGATGGACCTCTTATTTTTAGCTCACCTCAATGAGGTAGAGATGAACTTATGCTATACCCATGGTATCAGCATTAGTTTATGGAGAAGATCCATTCCCAAGTAACTATAGGCCCTACCAAACTTGCATGGATGATGCATCTAGGCGTGAACTCTTTTAGAATTGCTCTGGATGCTGGATCTGATTATGACCTACATTTTCAGGATGAGTGACCATGTTTAAGTTTTGGAGCAGGTCTATTTCCAAGTTATAAGTCCTAGCTAGACTTGTATGGATGATGCATCTAAGAATGAACAGACATGCTTCAAATGATGAAAATTATATGTACCGGTATATGACATATAAAGCTAAATTGCCAGTAAACATAACTATATACCTTGAGCAACAATTTACATGATCTTTTATCAAGATCATCATCTTTTTGTACTTCAGGTAAACAAGATTTAATTTCAGGTTTTCCAAAGAGAAGTTTAGATGGAAATGGGAAGTTGACAGCTTTGAATGTCAAGCTCAATTCCTGCTCTGTTTATTCAAATGTTAACCATTTTGGTAAAACTGAGCAATGTGCATGCCATCTCTTAACATTTAATAACACCCTTGATGTTTTTTTTTCTTCTTTTGCAGGAAGATTTCCTTATGCAAAGTGTTTTATTTGTGGAGAAACTGGTCACTTATCAAAGCAGTGTCCTGATAACCCCAAAGGACTCTATCCCATGGGTAAGCTATACTCAATAGCATTATCATAAACAACAGTCTTTATTTGTACAACTAAAACAAAAATAAATTGTGATCAGTCTTTGTAAAAAGGATTTTTTTTTATTAGGTGGATGTTGCAAAATCTGTGAATCTGTAGAACATTATCAGAGAGACTGTCCAGAGCTCCAAAGCCAACAAGGTATATTTTTTTCATAGCTTTTTTAAAGGTAATCTTCAAATGTAATTGATCAGTTTTATTAAATGATTTTTTTTTCAAATTGTACTTTAATTTTACTTTAATAAGGAGTGAAAAGTTACTGTCTGCCAACCATAGGAGGAGCCCACTCTAGTGTGGATGCTGAGATAGACCTTGAAGAATTTAAGCCAATGCCTCCTGTTAAAAAGAAAAATGGACCAAAAACTGTTGTGTTTTAATAAAAATGACTGCTGCTCTGATTTATTTTCATTCCTCAAAGAAACTAGTTGATTCAAATACAAATATCCATTTTGCAGTAAATGTCCTTGTTTAATATAAGCCCATTTTTAGAAGATGATGAGTGGTGTATATTTTATGATTGGGGGTACTTTTATTTAGGCTCTTTAAATATAAACTGTAATTCAGGAATTTATTGACAAAGTGAATTGTGAAACTGTGATTGCATTTTCTTTATAGCCAGGAGTCAATTTACAATGAAGTTATACATGTTGTAGCTCACTGTAGACAAAACTCCTTTTAAAAATAGTCTGTTTCATATGTTTTGCTGTTTTTCTGTAAACTTCTGCAGAACCACTAGGCAAACTTCAACTAATCTTGGCTTAGAACATCCCTTGGAAAAGGGGATAAAATCATACATGTCCAAATGAAAAACTGTTTCTTATTTCATAGGGAGATAATTAATAAATATATTATTATTTCTAATATTATTGGATTAAGAAAGAGCATGAGTAAAAATTCCATATGTATTGTACATTTCTATTTCTTTAAATTAAGCCTTGCATGGTCAGAAATTCAAACTTATATAGAAATAATCCTAAAACTTGTTTGCTAAAACAGCTCTTGAAGCTACAAGCTTAAAGCCACAATAATATCACATGAAATTTCTGCCAGCACTTAATACTTCTTTAATTAAGTTGCAAACATTTGGGTCTTATTCATGAGAATATCTGTTATAACGCGTCAAATATCTGCAACATCCAAAAGCAAGGTTCACTTAGGGCCTTTTTTGGCCCTGTGAATTTCTGAAAAATCAAAACTGCTCAGTTTTAGTTGAAAATACATTAAGTTCACTTAGACCCTTGGTGACTGCATATCTATTGAAAATGACGTAATTTGGTCGCTAGTCCATGCATTATGACATCATGAATTGTGTCATTATCCTCAAATCCTGAAAATTTCTTCAAAAATAGCCAAAAACAATTTTTTAATATTTTGCATAGACCCCAACCTCTGATCCAAAATGTTCAATTATATATTGAAAGAGTTTCTGAAGATTATAATCCATGTTTTATTTTTTGGATCGAGGAATGGGCTCATACATGTAGCTTAATTCATTGCTAAGGTACTCAAATACATCCATTTTCTTCAAAATTCAAGAACATTGCTATTTCACAAAGCCTGTTTATCAATATCTGGACTCTCAGAGGAAACTTTTTTAGGAAATGAAAGCACTAAGTCCCTACTTAATTTATATTGATGTTGAAATGATACTGGGACTTGGTCAGTTGATTGGTATACATGTATGAGCAGGGCCATTTTATGGATAAAGTGAACCTAGCTCTTTATGTACAGATAAATATGTCTAGGTATATGCTTTACAACAGTGCAGAAGTTTTGTTCTCCTTGAGCATCACCCATCACTTTGATCTTAATACAATTTTTTAACCTTAGCAACATATTTCCTACTGTTCTCATTTGTACTTGATATACATGTATACTGAAAATTACATCAATTTCTTCTATACAGATCATTATTCACCTACATGAGTCCGTGTTGTTACCAAATAATTTAATTTTGGTTGTAACGCATCATTTGATTGGATAAAAAAATTAGAATAAATTGTATAACCTGGGTTACCTACGTCACAATGACTTACGTCAAAAATGTATCAATCCGCTTGACGTTACATTTAAAATACGTACAATTTGAAGGCATTTTTGAAGGAGAAATTGTCATATTTTTTACACTTAAGGATAGAAAATTAAATTATAAGGAATGAATTTAATAGCTACCCAAGTTATACTGGTATAACCTGGATTGGAACAGTTTACGCTTTTTTATAAACCGCTTGGCGGTTTATAAAGTGTAACCAGCCCCAACCCAGGTTATACCAGTACAACTTGGGTAGCTTTTAAATTCATTCCTTAATTAAACATTGTTGAATTAGTGACCATCTCAAAAGGCCCCGCTGTAAGCTGAGAACATTAGGATTAAAGACCCTTTCTCCAAGGGCATTCTTTGGGTGAAGTTTAAGCCAGATGGGCCAAAAATGTTCAAGAAAAGATTTTACAGAGATTTGATATAACCTTGTCCACTAACTAGAAACTTGGCTCAAGGACATACCACATCTTCTACCAATAGGCACTAATATGTGAAGTTTTAGCCAGGTAGGATCAAGGGGAGAGAAAATATGCTATGGACAAGGATTTTACACAAAGATGTTTTCTGACCTTGACCTTTCATCTATAACAATTGGTTCAAGGTCATTGAACACCCTCTAACCACTGGTAATCCATGTGTGAAGTTAAGATTTTAATCCTATCTCAATCTTGTGACTTTGACCTTAACTTCTCATTCCTGGGTTTTGCAATACAAATATACTAAAGTATAATCCATTTCTGATATATCTACATCAAGAAGAACATACATTTATGAAAGGAATAAACAAAATGAATACTGATGTAATTTTTGTATCTTTTTTATATCACATACTTGCACATGAAAAAATGTAAATAAACAAATTAAATATGAAATTAAAGTTTATATCTTCTTGTGACAGGTTTTCAAATTAAAGTGAAATATGATCCCAGTCTCTCACTCTCATACACACTATATATGGATGTTTCATTTTAATTTAGAGTTAGTTCATCTTCCCAAAATTCACTTTATAAATAACAGTGAATAAATTGTTGTTACATCTGTGTATATTTAAAATGAAGATCAAAATGAGTATATGGATATACAACACAGACAGTTTTAACCTGTACAATAAATGGTCTGGTAAACATGTTCTCATTCATTGTTCATTAGGTTAGTGTGATTGACAAAAAAGGAAACTGACACATTTACTTTTAGAAAATAACAATTTCTACATAATTTGGGTACATTCTGTCTAAAAAGGCCATGCAGATTTTATTACAATATGACCACCACCTCTTGAGTTAATATTAACAAAAGTATTCTTTATATTTTATTCTTGTGCCTCTGTTTTTTTCATTAAGGTCATCATACAAAAGGTTAAAATGTCAAATATTCAACAATCTTCTACCATTTAAAACAAGGATCACTTAATCTGAGTGAAAATTTCTACTCTTAATTTTACACACAGTTTAAATCTTATATCCAACATATTCATCTGACACTTGCAATCATGTTGCAAATACTACGGTAGCCTCTGTGGACGTTAAATTACTGGTGGGCAAGATTAGTCTCTTTTATGGAAGACTCATCAAATCTGCTATCATAATCAGAATATTAAACTCTTTTAAGTCTTACAGGTGATAGTCAAAATTTGTTTCTATTGAGGAGCAAATGAAGATAAAGAGCCATGAATATCTATTTCCAATGTAAAATACTGTTATCAGGTTATAAATGCAAATGACTAGTAGATCACAACCAAATAAGAGTTAGCTATTCATACGACACATGCACTTAACATTTATTCAAACATTTTTATAAAACCAAAATTTGTTTCTGATTTTGCACATATTACATGTAGTTCTTTAATTTTCATGACTCACAATCTTGTGGTCAACAAATAAATGTATGTACCCAATATGTAGCTTAATATCCTGGGCAAAAGATGTAGACAAAGCAATGATCTTTTTCCATGCTTAAGACGATGGATGACTTCATACTTTGAGTTTTACGTGTAATTGTGGGGTTTAAAAGAATGTTCAATAGTGAAAAACCAACAATCCCAAGGAAAAAAATGACCCCTTGTACCTGCTGATTTAAAATCTCAGTGGTGTACATGTAAAAAGTGCACTAGAAGTCGTCAAAAGAACACATTATTGCGTACTGGAATAAAGGGATTAATTTACAGATACACTGTGATGAACTAATTGAATTCTTTCAGTGTCTTTTAAAGATGCATGTTTTGAAATGTAGCAATTTTCCAGATACCACGAACTAGCGAATTCTTTCAGTGTTTTTTAAAGATACATGTTTTAAAAAAACACTTTACAGCCCTCAATCAGACTTTTATCCCCAATGAAGTGAGCAGAGAGCAAATAGACTTTCACAAAGGATTAACAATGAGATACAAACTGCACTGTTGTAACATAAAAATGCACTTAAAGTACATATATATGTATATATAGGTCTGATGCCTTTGTAAAATTTCCAAGACATACATAGCTAACTTTCATCAAATGCAAACAACAGCAATTACATTTGGTCAAAACAAAACAAAAATATTCATCAGTCTCTGATGTTTTAACAAAATAAAATTCAACAAAGCTTCGTAGTTAAAATAGGCTAAGAACATTAAAAGCACTGAGTATACAAATAAGTTCACAAAATGACAATTATCACAGTTAAACAGTAGAACTGAAGTTGACATAACACCTGGTACACTACAGACATGAATCATTTAAAAAGCAGAGGGCATAATGTTCATCCTTGCATATTAATTACAAAAGATTTATAGCGAAAAAATTCAATATACACCTAAAGTATTGTACATGAGCATCTTTTTAACACATACTATATATGTGTCCTTAATAAAAAAAATGGCCTGAATGCATGATCATTGTCTTTAATGCTGTTTGACTTCTGTCTGTGATGCGATGAAACAAAATTATTTTCTTGAACAAATTAAAATTGGTACCAGCCCTATGACATACTGTACATACATGAAATATGTAACAAAACAGAAGACCATGTCTTCCCTTGTTCTACAGAGCATAAAGTAAGACATGGCATTACATTTACATGGAAAACAAAATAGCATTACATGCATGTTCCTCAGGAAATTCAAATCGTTATTTAATAAAACTTGATTCCTATCTAGCTAATTATACACAAACTCACAGCATAAAGACATAAAATGAAACCAATTAATAAGGACATAAGGTTAATTAATCATCCATCACCCAGAGGATGCTGTAGTAATTAAAATATATTACAGCGATAATGATACATGTACACGTATTAAGTTTGTAGAAGTTGCATGTATGTTAGTTTTAAAGCTCCAACATAAATTGAAAGCTTTTCACCTCTGCCACATTTGAGTTAATTGGTTGTTGATTACACTCAGACAACAACTACTCTGAAATATGTCGTCTTTTTTCAGTCTTCTTATCAGTGTACTGTACATGCATTTACATGTTTCAATAAAAAAAATTCCCCAAGTAGAATGAATATGGAATCAAATTAACATACATAAAAAACACTTTCTTAATACAAGATTATTTTTATCTTTCCCCTCTTAAAGTATTTGGTCTCAATTTTTTTCCAAATAAAAATTAATCATGTTCAAGGAATAATTAAAAAAAATTACAGAAGATTATTATATTCAGAATCTTTTACTGCTGCCCTATCTTGATCTCAGTCGTACTATTTACTATAATTTTAAAGCAATTCCAGAAAGCTAATATTCTGTGTAAATGAAATTTACATGACTGTATACATGGTATATAAGGATTTCTTTAAATCCATGTACTGCTTTATTATGCTACATAACTTACACCCACCAACCCTGGAGAACCCCAACATCTCCGCCCCACCCACACCCCCAAAAAATATATATAAAGATGTTCAAGTACATGCATATGTCGAAAAATTGTAAACATGTACTTTCTAATAATTTAACTTTTATCAAAGAGCTTAATGAAATTTGTCAAAACAACAGGGCCAAGAAAAATGAATTGGTGTAAATAAGATGTTTGTGTCCTAACTCTACTTAAGGCAACCTCTGTGACACTGGTCCTCTTGATTGATTACTGAAGGTCTTTGTCTTAGTGTCCTCATTGGTCAGCAGTTTGTGTAATTGTTGCTGATTGGTCGAACCAAATATAGTACACTCTCCTGAGAGATAATAGGAAAGTTTTTACTCCTGTGGTAAGAAATGAGATGAGGCACACTCTCAAATGTATGATCCTTGGTTCTGACCTGTAAAATATTAGTAAATTTGTTTTCATATATGAAACAAGAGGCCCACAGGCATTAATGGTCATCTGTCACTATGCAGGTTTTTTTTCTGAACCGCATCTGTTTTTCTGATCTTTCTAGTCCTTTGTAAAACTTGAGAGCACTTACAATGTATAAATCTCCACTTCATCATAAGGGTAATAATTTAAAAAACAAGATGTGTTTGTGAAACACTGATGCCCACGTATGGCAGCTTATGGCGAAGGTTAAAGTTTCTTCAAATGAAGGTCAAAATCCAGGCCAAAAGATAAAAAATGTTGATACTCAAAGAAAGGTCTTGTCTCGAGGAATACACCTGTGAAATTTGAAAGACCTAGATACAACTGTTCAAAAGTTATGGCGAAGGTTAAAGTTTTTTAAATAAAAGTCAAACATCAAGGTCAAGATCAAAGTGGTTGGTATCCAAAGGAAGGCCTTGTCACAAAGAATACACATGTGAAGTTTGAAACCCCAAGCACCAACTGTTCAGAAGTTATGGCCAAGGTTAAAGTTTTTCAAAAGTAGGTCAAACTCCTAGGTCAAGGTCGAAGGGTCAAAGTGGTTGGTATCCAAAGAAGATCTTGTCACAAGGATTACATATGTGAAGTATGAAAGCCCTAGCATCAACCATTCAAAAGTTATGGCCAAGGTTAAAGTTTTTCAAAAGTAGGTCAAACTCCTAGGTCAAGGTCAAAAGGTCAAAGTGGTGGTTGATATCCAAAGGAAGGTCTTGTCCCAAGGATTACATATGTGAAGTATGAAAGCCCTAGCTCCAACCATTCAAAAGTTATGGCCAAGGTTAAAGTTTTTCAAAAGTAGGTCAAACTCCTAGGTCAAGGTCAAAGGGTCAAAGTTGTTGGTATCCAAAGGAAGGCCTTGTCACAAAGAATACACATGTGAAGTTTGAAACCCCAAGCACCAACTGTTCAGAAGTTATGGCCAAGGTTAAAGTTTTTCAAAAGTAGGTCAAACTCCTAGGTCAAGGTCGAAGGGTCAAAGTGGTTGGTTTCCAAAGAAGGTCTTGTCACAAGGATTACATATGTGAAGTATGAAAGCCCTAGAATCAACCATTCAAAAGTTATGGCCAAGGTTAAAGTTTTTCAAAAGTAGGTCAAACTCCTAGGTCAAGGTCTAAAGGTCAAAGTGGTGGTTGGTATCCAAAGGAAGGTCTTGTCCCAAGGATTACATATGTGAAGTATGAAAGCCCTAGCTCCAACCATTCAAAAGTTATGGCCAAGGTTAAAGTTTTTCAAAAGTAGGTCAAACTCCTAGGTCAAGGTCAAAGGGTCAAAGTGGTTGATATCCAGAGGAAGGTCTTGTCACAAGGAATACACAAGTGAAGTTTGAAACCCTAAGCACCAACTGTTCAAAAGTTATGGGCAAGGTTAAAGTTTTTCAAAAGTAGGTCAAACTCCAAGGTCAAGGTCAAAAGGTCAAAGTTGTTGGTATCCAAAGGAAGGCCTTGTCACGTGAAGTTTGAAACCCCAAGCACCAACTGTTCAGAAGTTATGGCCAAGGTTAAAGTCTCATAAAATTTTGCAAAAGTGGGTTAAACTCCAAGGTCAAGGTCAAAAGGTCAAATATGATGGTACCCAAAGAAAGGTCTTGTCACAAGGAATACACATGTGAAATATGAAAGTCATAGCTCCAACCAATCAAAAGTTATGGGCTAGGTTAAAGTTGACAACAGACAAACAGACAAACGGACAAACAGATAAACAGACAAACAGACAGACAGGACAAAAACAATATACCCCCGGGATCTTTCAATCCGGGGGCATAATAAAAATCATATTGATTTTAATATACCATATTTTCACATTTGACATTTTAAATCATTAATTGTTTTGAGGGAGATTTTCATAAACTTGTAGTCTTATATTCTTGTGAAATGATTTTTTAAAGATTTACTTTTCTTTGTCAAAATTTGGACAAATTTAGTGACCCTATCCCAACCCCATGGCCCCAGATTGAATTAATATTATCCTATACGCTTGGAACCACTGAAGACAGAAAGACTTTTTTGGAGATTTTTTTCAACACATTTCAATGTAAAACTTTGGAACCCCCTTTGTGGTAATATCACTGCCCCAAAGGCCAAGATTTGAATCTGCAAGGTGACTGCATACCTATACATGTAACTTTTAAAATTTACATTCAGCTGTGACTGGGCAAATTTTAAATGGGGCAAAATAGTTCGCAAGTGTAAAAGGGCGAAAATAACCCTGTATACAGTATATAAAAGAAAATTTTTATAATCATCAAATCAAAACTACAGAACATACTCTGATAGCTCTGCATGTATAAACAAAGTAAAATTTCTCACCACTCCATCAGGATCCACCAGCAATAAATGTTTGATCATGCCATTCTGTCTCCCACTCAGTACAAACTGATTGGGGTCAGATGAACTCTTTCTGACTAGGAAGTCCCCATCCTTTTGTAGAAGCTTCTCTGCCTGTTTCCTGGGTAAAGCTCCATGGTACCATTCCTCAAACATGGGGGAAATGCTCTTCAGATTGGTGGGTTGAGGATTTTCTTTGAGGGGTGGAAGGGTGTCACAAACTGCTTTGTCTTCGATGTGTTTTTCATGGACACCATTATGTTGGGATTTGTTTCTGGGAGGAGGTAACTCTGCACTGAAGGGCTCTAAGAAAGTGAATATTTAGAAAAAGTTAACCATTTTCAATGCTCATTTTGTCTTAAAAAATAGATTACACAGTATATTACACATTTTAAAATATATATACATATATGTAACTTTCTACAAATTTAAACTATACAAGTTCAAATTGAAGCATTGTTGAAACTTGCACATAATAACAATACAGAAATGAGTACAGTGCATTATACATATGACAAACTTTAACTTAAAAAAAACATTATTTGGACAATATTTACAAAACAAAATTTACCTAAGTCAAAAGGATCCTCTGAAGTCTTGACTGTATCTCTTATTCTTGGAGGGGGGACATCTGGTATATTGTCCAAAACACTGGGGGAGGGGGGTTGTCTTGGAGGGGGCTCAGACAGAACATTCTCCTTGTTATCATACATATTAGGTTTGAATTCTGGAGAAGTGGAATTTTCTACAAGACAGAAGAAAATTCTTTGATCAGCATACAGAAATCATGAATTGGAAATAATGTATATTTTTACCTAGTAAGGTTTTCTAACAGATTCTGCACAGCCATAGCTAGACACTTTATACAACTGTACATGTACAATCTAAAGATACAACTTAAAAATTATGAATTCTTTAAAAACTTAAAAAAAAAAAAAATACCGAAACATATACGTACAGTAGGTAACTTTTATGCATTCTTACAAGTCATTTTTCTCCGTAGAAAGGTCCTACATCTCAAGCTTACCTTTATTATCATATACATTGGCACCATTATCAGACAGATCAATGAGGGGCTGTTCCTTTGGAGTGTCGTACACGGAGAGTTTGTCCTTCACAGAAGAGTATACACCATCACTGACCTACAATATATTAAATATACCTCAGGGCCACACTCGCAGCAACAGTGTAAGGGCCAAACTCACAACTAGTGTTAGATGTCGGGCCATATTCAAACTACAGTGTTATGGCCATATTATTCTCACAAGTATAATATAAAGTCCATACTCATGATAAAAATTATCATGTCAAAGTGAATTAAATTACCTTTATATTTCATAACCTAAGAAAATAAAGATTTCATAACCTAAGAAAATGGCTATCTCTCTATTTTTTACATTTTTTAAATTACACATAAATACATTTTTTTAAATGTTGTGTGTCAAATTATCAAACATTTTTGTTCATGTCCAAAACAATACATTCTTAGAAAACTTGAATTCTTAAGATTTAGTTTTATTTGGAATCTCATGATACACTGCAACACAGCCATGTTCCTGATCTTAAAGCAATGACCTTTATCACATATACAAAATGAGTAACTTACAGGGAGGTTGGAGGGGGGTGTGGCATATTCAGCAAGTGGTGCTTTAGAGGTGGGTGGTGAGGGTGCACGTGCATCAGGACGATCGTTATAGTATTCATTCTCTGTCTCATCATCTCCCCAGGCGTCAGATTCAGCCAGAGGACCCTCAGACCTAGTATAAACAAGGGGGGTGTTTACAGGTACCTCCACAAAGCCTGCAGTTATTTGTGAAAGAGATTTTTTTGCCCTTTTTTCCATAAAAATTTCTGCATGGGGATTTTTTTCCTTCAATAATCAGGATAACAGATTGAATATAAGTCCATGTATAATGTCATATATTGTACCAGGGGTATTTTGATTCTAAGTACTGTGTATATTTCTGTTGTGTTTGCGAAGTTTCTCTAATAACAAAATTGGTAAGAATTACACGTACATAAATACATCTTTAAATTGCCAATGGAATTCACATAATTTATAGACTCTAGGAGCATGTTTATCTTGGCCATTTTAACATGTTTAATATATCATTATATTTTTTTGTGATGAGTTATAGGAACACATTTACAGTATTCTACTGAGGTAACTACATATTCATGAAGTTGTGTTGGAAGTTTTATTAATGTTTAATTATGGATTTTATCTGGTTTCAGAAATCAGTTTGATCCTGAGTGCTCAAAAGCAGGTGTTCTTGAAGTAGCATACATAACAGAGACAATGCCACCTTACATCAGAAATAGCTGCATAATGGCAACTTTCTCCAAACAATTCACTCTCACTGAATAAACCTGCATTGCTTTAAATAAAAAGTTCAAAATTTCATATGAAATTAGTTGCCTTGTCTAAACCATTTTCTGAAATTCTACAAGTCATCTTTCAAAAATTAGCATGTAATCTTCAATCAAAATCCAGTATCATTGCACAAATGTAGAAAGAGAGGATGCTTAATTAGTCTAGAGTAGTCCTTCATTACAGTGGCTACCTGTCTGGGATCTCCATGGCTTTGGGTTGATTTTTCAGGTACTCCTTGAATCGCAGTTCAAAGGACTGTCCAATAGTTGTGATGACATCTTCAGACAGCCCCCCTCCACATTCCAGCACATGACAGGCACGGCCATTTACCAGGTCCTTTGCTACATATGACACAAAGTCAAGGGTTTCCTGCAAATATCTTGTAACATTGTGAATTTCTATTAAGAGACAACTAGTAACATGCAGCAGTTCCTTATAGTGTACAAAATTACACAATGCGTCAGAGAGGAAATGTCATATATTAAAATAAAAAGCATTAATTATCAGGCACTTTTCCTTTCCCACCTAATCATGTGTATGTGAATTAACCCAATTTAATTAAGCCTGATTAATCAGAGTGCAACTGTGCAACAATAACAAATTAACCAATAGTTATTTTCCCCAGTACAGTAATTCACATCTACTCACTGCATCCCCTCCCGAGGCAAAGGAGATCCCGGGCATCTGATGAGTGGCAATTATCTGTCAAAACAAATGCTCCAGTACATGAACTTAGTATGTACATATCATAACACAAATTTCATTTGAAAGAAATGCATATATATGACAGTAAATAACATTTTTATCACTAATTTTGACATTATTTTGAGCTGAAAATTCAATCAAATTTATTTCAATAATATGACAAAGAAAACCCTATCCAAACATCCACTTCAATAAAGTTTTTTTTATAACGATCTGCATAAAATGGATATACTAAGAGACCAGATTTTTTTCTTTGTATGAACAGTTGCCATGGTCAATTCCAGGCTTACACATGTAACTATCTACCTGGTAGTTTGTTTTGAGAATGCACAAGTAGATTTATTTTGACCTAGGACAGTCATCATCAGACACACTTTAAGAAAGTGTCATTGTTTGGAATTATCATGATCAAAGATACAGTCAAACTGACATTATTGTATCACAAAAATATATTTATTACAGAACCTTTTTTGTTTAAATGTTACACAGATGTGTTTATATTTTCCTCGTCAAAGCATCTATATAAGTTTAAAATAGCTCCATCATTTTCCAATTCACTGTTGTATGATAAAAGTTTGCAGATAAAGTTTGAATTTCAACTTACCAACTAAAATTTTAATGGAAACTATTCTAGTATGAACTTAACACTATCCTACAGAGACTTAAATGCTACAGTAACTGAAATAAATTATTGATATAATTTATTAAGTTAAATATCAAGTTTCAGTCTTTTTTTTTTTAAACCAGAATTGTAGTTCAATATTAGTATGTTTTTATAATGCAATATTGTCATTAATGATCTTGTCATATTTCACTTATGTTAACTTTGTTCAATTTAATGCAAATGTTGCCTGAGGGTGGGGGTTTGGGTGGGGGAGGGGGTGAGGGGGTCCAGTATAATTACCTCCCCTGATTCCATGATCATGAGGTTGAGACACTCAGTAGAAATTGTCAGGTTGACATTGGAACCTGCATACTGTAAAATAGGTTTCTCACCCAACATCTTTGTCAATTTTTTATCAACCTAGAAAACACACACAATATGCATGTATGAGGAAAATACTTGATGATGGTTATGTCAATGCAAAATAGTTCCTTGTCAAAATTTAGAAAAATAATTCAAAAGGAGAGTTTTATATCTAGTACAATATATATGTACAGTTGTACACTGAATAAGGAAGGATCATGTTCAAAAGAATATAGCTTGAATACATTTTTTTATTTACAATGTATTTACATGTATTTTATAAATATTAAATAAAAAGAATAATATTTTTTTAAGCATTTAAACTGAGTTTATATATCATATTTATCATAGACATAGGCCTATGACGTGTATAAGTTACACTTTTTTATTCCCTGTTTTTTATATCTTTCACCTGTCTGTACTTACCTTTCTCTTTTTCGCTGTTTTAAGACCAGCTGCCTCACACACTCTATTTATTGCCTCCCTGCAAACAAAATTATTTATAATTTTTTTGTAATTAACCCATTTTCAAGCTTTATCATGTTAATTCCAGACTTTCATCCAGTGAATTAAATAATGTATGAATTCTTGTTCATGTTCTACATGTATATATAATTATGTAGTGGTTGTACCTGTAATACACAAATATAAATCAATATTTACCTGGCAAGGGCTGTTCTTGTTTCAAAATCTAAAGATCTCATGGATTCCTTGACTTCAATACAACCGATATACTGAAACAAATATGATCACATATTTCAATCTTTGTATTTTCTAAATGCAAGTTTGTTTGTTTGTTTTTTTTTTTTTGTTTTTTTTTTTTTTTTGTTTGTTTTTTTTTTTGTTTTTTGTTTTTGTTTTATATGGATTTAAGGATAAAAATACTTGAGTCATTATTAGCATTATCATATAGATTTCTATATCATAACAAAATTAGATTTCTATTTTTCATGAACAAATTTTAGAATCTGTGAAATTTAGATTTCTGGCTCATTAACAAAATCAGATTTCAATTTCATAAACAAATTTAGATTTCTATCTCATTGAACAAATATTATAAACAAATTTAGATTTCATAAACAAATTCTATTTCATAAACACTAAAATTTAGATTCTATTTCATAAACAAATTAGATTTCTTTAACATGAACAAATTTTAGATTTCTATTTGATAAACATATTTGGAATTTTAAAAAGAAAAACATAAATCTACAGTCATGGGACATAATTATTCGCCACCCCGTATGCAAATGGTCATGCAGTTTAGAACATCAAAATACTAAACACGAAACTCTACAGAAAAAATTATTTTGAGGATGGATGGACATCACAAACTAGCTACAAGTGAAGGACATGAAAACACTGAATTATAGACTAAGCCTTGATCCCTTTAATAATGTTATCATTTCACTTGACCAGATTGACTAATCTTAACATAATTTTGTGAATTTAATCTGCTTATATATTCAGAAAATGTGGGAATTAACAGAATGAAGTTCACCATTGAGATACATGCAAATTAAGCTTGGTGCTTGAAATGAAAAAAAATACGCAAAATGTTGCCTGCCATGCCAAGATAATTGTTCAGTTCAGTATATCTAAATGAAATATTCATAGCCAGTATTCAACAACATTTTGCAAGTGTAGTGTTCTTTTTTAAAACACGTAAATCCCCAGGTAAACGTCCGGATATTTTACCTGTAGCAATGGGTAAATTTTATATAAAAAGGGACTGTCCTCTCGGGTTACCAGCAATTAGTGCTAACAATAGTATTTATACACCTAAAAAATATTACCTGACAAAAGATTATCATCACATGGAGAGTATGTGGCCGAAAGTATGTGTGCCATCATGACTTAAGGGGGCCGACTGGGGTTTTCATTGCGCAATACTTCGCGCAGAATAGTAAAATAAAGCGTATTTACTCTTTTAAAGCAACTAGTTTTACATAATTTATAAAAAAATAACAAATTTAGGAAATATGAGGTCAAAAAATATAATTATGTTTTTAATTAACTGATTTTTTAACGATTTTTCAAATGATGGGTAGAAAGACGTCGTAATAGTGTGTTTTTGACGTTATGAATAACCGAAGTTCTTTAAGCGGGGTCATTAATTATGCCATAAAATAAAAAGTATAAAATGTATGCTCTTGGAATTTTAAACATAGGGAATTGAGAATATAGCAATCATTGTTACTATTTTTTATGTAAATCTGTGGTATCTGTCATGTTTTGTTTTACTCCATAAAAACAGGAAAATATCATGAATTTTGACATTTTGAGATGCCCCCTCTGGAAACCAGACGGTAGAATTTTGTGTTTCTTGCAAAAAATGTACAATATAGTATTACCAATCAAATAATAAAATTTGAGCAAAAAGTCTATAGTAGTATTTGTATAATTTGCTCCGAAGTGCAAAAAAATGCTATTTTCCTATATAATCCTATAGTAATTGTACCCGTATTTTGAGACGGTCCCTGAAAAATAACCAGACGGTAGATTTTCACTTAACTTGGCATGTATACTGAAGTCAATGTAAGGTATATAGGGTATAAAACTAAAGAGTTTCTCTATAGTAGTTTTCACACAATAAAACCCCAGTCGGCTCCCTTAATTAAACTTTTTTTATATATATAAATACATTTTTTAAGAGCATGAAGTTTGATTAATTATTATTTTTATTTGTTTAAAACACTGCAACTCTCTTATCTTAAATAATTCAAATCAAATATATGAGTGAATCTGTCATTATTTGTAAATTATATCAGTATCTACCAGTATTTAACAATATGATACTCTGTCTTCCTTTAGACTTGCAGTATTACTAAGAGCCCTGTGACATGCTCAAGTTATGATAATGGCAATTATGTCAATCCCTCTCCCTCATTAACCATGTATAACATATTTTACGTGCAAGACTTTCAATACATTTAACTCGTCCTATATTAGTCATACACTGGCCTAGTCATACATTTGAGTTTCTTTTCAACAAAAAGTCAATTTAAAAAAAAGAACAGTGTGTGTTGAAATTCATTCATTTATTTTTAGTGTCAGTAGAGTAGCCTAGGAAATGTTTACACAAGGTTTTACTTCCTAGAATTTTGAATCACGATTGTGATATAAATATCAGTGTTTGTTAATATTATCATGTGATTATCTATAACACAGATAACTCAATATTACAATGGAGTGTCAAATTTTTTTTTTATCATTCATATCTACCAGTACATGTATCAATTCAGGCAAAGAGGATATCTTATGAAAAGAAAGCTGTACAGTATAATTAATACAACAGATTATGAGATATATATTTTTTTATATACTATGGTAATTTAGATGGGGAGAACCTTAAAAACTAAACCTGCCAATAGCTTGTCAAAACATTTCAAATGTATGCTTCATACATAATAAGTGTGTTGTACATCATCTCTCCTGGTGATTATCAAAATCTCAAAGACCTTTTTATCATGTTTATTCTTTCAGTATATTAGACCTTCTATTATGTCTCAACAAATATTGCTTCTTCTCTTGATTAAAATTCTTTGATTGTATGTTTGTTTTTTGTTTTCATTTTTTTTTGGGGGGGGGGGGGGGAGAGAAAGGGGGGGGGGTGCTTGATACAAAGTTCTGACTATTAAACTCAGTTACTAGTCTATATAGCAGACCCTACACCTTGTCCATGTGGCCAGTGTGGACAAAACAATGAAGACCTTTAAACCATCTGGACTCAAGGCAAATCCCTGAATCCTCGTTCAACTACATTCATTACTTTAATTTTATCTTAACTCCATACTGCATCACTATCAAACTGGAGTCGGGACACTACACTGAATTTCACACTCCATAGCAGATCTCTGTGATGTTCCAACTGGATACAATATATACTAAACTTTAAACTTACTCGAACTCCATAGCAGATCCCTGCCTCTTTATCCAGCTGGAAGTCCGGATGGATCCAGCCCCTGTCTGGCTTGTTCATGAAGCTTCCAGATTTGGACCATTCTGATGAACGGCCCTTCTTCTTATGCTTGTCTATCTTAGCTGCCATTCTGTTTTAACAAAGAAGATTTTTATCAGACATCTAGATTGAATTATATAATTTCTAAAATAGTAATTTCTTTATGTATGTCTAACCATGAAATTGAAAAATAATAGGTTATTCATACAGCATTGTACAGTATACAATATATATGTATATCTATAATGATCAAGGACATACTACAAAGATTATGCAAAGCGTCATCACGAAGTTATAGTGACATTTTATTTTAGCATAAACAAACAAATGTTGATTCATGTACTGTATGTGGAATATAAGAAAAAGTTTTAACTGAACCCTATGTTCAAACAGTCAGGTACAAAATACTTTTCTTCTACCACATGAAGAGGGATGACCAGGGCTTTCAATAATTTTGACATGACAAGGTGAATTTATCTTTTTGAAAAGGTTGTTTTAGAATGATTTCAAATAGTTTATTTTACCAATTATGAAATTTGAATCAATGAATTCCAATCACAGAGCTGGTGAAAAATCACCTCCTGCCTCCCCTTCTTGAAAACCCTACGATCTATAGTTCCTTAAAAAGCTTCATATTACATAAAACATGTGTTTACGAGGTACAGACCTGCTTGGCTATCACCATAATTCCAAAAATCACACGCTCAACCAAACTTTCCTTGTACGTTAAAAAGTAAGTCATTAACCATGTTCAACACAGAAAATATGTGTACCGGGTAAATATGCAAGTCCATATGATCAATAAAATGCCTTTAAAAATGCATCATATCCCAGATATTTTGAAGGATAGTACATTTCTGTTGCATATTTGCACTTGGAATACATTATTGTTATTATAGTAACACATCATTTGTTTAGTATGTTTTATCTTCTTTATTTATAAGTACTCACAATGGGGAAATACTAGTAAGACATAACACTTGAAAAATTACTTCCTGAAACACTTAATATTAAAAAGTGTGTAGCCGGTATAAAAGATATCAGATTTAGAGGCAAACACTGTTTGTTTGGAACACATTGTTTATCTTTTGAAAATACAACTTGACTTATGTACATTTGTCATGTTTATTACATGTCTTGATCCAAGTGAAAATTACATTAAGTATCAATTGAACAATTTATTTAATTAAATGATTGATTTCAGTCAAAAGTTGTTCAAACCTCCTGTCACTAAAGTAGATAATTATAACCCCATACCTTACAGTTACTGTAGCCATATGATTTCAACAATTTTAATTTACAGTTTATTTAGGTTTGATGTCAAGTATACAAATTGTACTCTCATTGTTCTTGTGAAAGATAGTCTATATATATATATATATACATTTTTCTGTGTAAAATTTAGGATGGAGATGACATATCGAAATACTGAATCTGTGTGATGACCATACATGTAGTTACTTGGATAGAAATATCAAAATATCGCAAATAAATTTTCAGACTTCTTTTTTCTTTGTTTACTTAAAATTTTAAGTTTAATATATAAAATATATATGTTAAATATAAATCTGAAATACATAATAATTAACACCACTTCTGTGAAATAATTTTGTTTTACAACAGATATACAGCTTCTATGAATAAATTTTTCTTATTTGTGAAGAAATATATTGTATACATTTCAGTATACAACTGGAAATTTTTACAACCGATTAAAATATTGTCAGTGATGCATAAGATCATGGCTCAAATATCAATCATTATTTGAACAAACTTGAATCTACACTACATGGGGATACTAGTATATCAATATATGATTTTTTTGAAAAGATTTTTTCTATTTCAGTTTTATGGCCCTGTTTTAAAGACTAAACTAAACTGTTGACCCCAAATATTGTAACAGTTGCCCAATGATTCTATGGTTTAAACAAATTTGAAACTACAGTAAATGAGCAGTGAGAAAAAGGTAATGTATCTTTTTTTATTCATCCCTTAAATTTACCTATACTATAAAGGCAAATAAATCATGAATTTAAAAAGAAAAAGTTTGAATCTTATAACCTCATTTAACAATTGAAATAAACCGCAAAATTGTATTATTTTGATATAGTAGCTACGATTCAACATATCTGTTACAAAGAAAATTGTCATTTTTCTCACCTTAACTTGAAGTAGGGAAGTTTTCACACAATTTCTTTTTTCATATTTCTTGAAATTTTTATTATCTCCCTTAAAAAAAGGAAGAGTTTGACTAATGATGGGCAATTGGACTGAAAAATCATACATGTAACCGATTATCCTTAATAATCAGATACACATAGTCATTATAATTGTATTTTTCTCAAAGACAATAAATGAAAAACAATTAAACATTTAAACATAAAAGTTCAGATGAAAACATAAACTTAATTTAATTAATCACAATGAATTTTAATTCATTTTTTTTTATTATCAAAAAGCCTAGTTCTTAATTTATCATGAGGAATGATTGCATAAAGTGTAGAAAACTCATATTTCATGGTGTTATTAACTTTAGAAATAATTGGTGATTTTAAATTTTCCAAAGTTCTTTAGAGTTTTTTTTAGAATCCACACCTGATTTAGTCAACTTACACCACTTCTAAAATATGCTATATCACAAACATGTCTGAAGTCTCTCATTTACAGCAGTTATTTTTTGTAAGGAGTAGAGATAGGGACTTGGTAGAGCATTTGCTGGACTCAGCAATGTATCTTTGTTTGGAAGGATTTTTTTATGAAGTTTAGAAACCAGTATATGTAAGGAAGATTGAACTCACCTTGTTTGACTAGAATGTTAAAAGTATTAAAACACTAAAATGTGATTTTGAAGAACTTCATCCATAAAGCAAACAGTGACTTGGTGTGAGTACATGTATAAATTGTATTTCCAGATGTAGAAATAAAACCACATTCTTCTAAAATACAGTTATAATAAAGAACCAAACAAACAAAGATGATATTGATACAGCCTTGCCTGTCAGAACCATTAACATATTGTTCATGTAGTCTTTCTAATTTCTTTTGTCACCTCCAATTTAGACTAATTTCATTTTAAAAAGTAATTTACAAGCATTGGGACTCATGATAATCTAGTTAATAATTAAGTTTAGGGAATGTCTGTGCTGTTAGTGTATTTCTGACTATTGCAACCCCCCCCCCCCCCCCCCCCGGATGTTGTCCATTTCCTGTTATTAGCCTGACATCATACTTTCGATCATTGTATTTATCACTACCGTAAAACTTTAAGCACATGTTTTGGGAGGAATAAAATGAGGTATAAACTATTTATGTTTATCAGCAATGACAGTAACGTTTGTTTAGTAATCAACAGCATCGTAGAGCTTCTGTAACAACCAACAATCAATTGTCAGCGACAATCACTTCAACACTAAGTGTATACTAATTCATTTCAAGGAATTTTTATCCACATCACTGAAAAATATTTTGCTACAAGTTAAGTTGACAATGTCCATTGGTTTTGGAGTAAAAGATGAACAAATTTTACAAGACAGACATACATTGGATTAAAGCATACTCTTTGATCTGAAAAAACTATCTTTTAAACTTCGGCTACTATGGTGAGCAAAAAACTTTTCTTAAGGATTTTATCTAAGGACAAATTTAGTGACAATGATAAAATATTCATAGGAAACTACATTTACAGTAGGGCTGTCACGGTTCCAAAATTTTTTGGGTCGGGTCCGTTCTGTAAATTTTCAGTTCGGGTATTTTGGTTCGGTTATTTACATATATTTTGAGCCTTAAATTCAAGAATTTAACTTGAAAAATCTTTATTTGTTATGTTAAATTCACACTGAAAACAAATCTTAACCATGCTAACGTCTTGACATCAGTGTTCAGGACTACTAGGCCAACTATTACCTACAACCTGACCATTCTTGCTTGTTTTGATAATTATCTAATTCTTTCGTGACAAGTATGTTGTCATTGAATGAAGTAGAATTCAGCTGTGATGTTAATTTATCACCTTTATCATCATCATTCTTTTGATTTTGATGCCATTTTTGTATAAAACAGATTCTAATGTATAAAACAGACCTGAACCAAAATCGAAGAAAAATGGAACCAAAACTGAACCGAAAACTTGGACCGCGGTTTTCGGTTATTTCGGGGAGCCGTGACAGCCCTAATATACAGATGGTAAATGTATAAGCATCTGTTAACATCAAAAGCTATTCTCATTCTTACTTTTTAGTAGTATTTTAAGTATGTGTTTCAGCATTTAGTCATGTTTGTACAGAAATTGCAACTTCCTCAAGTGTCTATTTATTCTTCCTAACTTTTTGAGCAGTGAAACTTTCATAGACATATGCAATGATCAACTGGAATGAATAAATATGACAATTTGACAAATAGTATTTATTTTATGCTGATAAAATGCAGTTGCATGATAAAGTATAATACTGTGAAGTATTTGAAAAACAGCACTATACAATGTAGAAAAATTCTCTTTCCAGTGATCAATAAACGAATAGAAGGTCTTTAAATATCAATTTATATATTAAAACTTTACTTTCTGATAAAATTTCAAATATTCATTTTGACACATGAATCGATATTTGACATTATTTGTCAAAAGAAGTCATATATACTGCCACAGAAAGGACTTGATATCAGAGTGTGTAATCCTACATGACAGCAATGTGTATTTAGTGTATCTAAAATTCTCGAAAGTATTTCTCTACAAATATGTTTCCAAATATAAACATTATCCTGGAATTTAACAGTTACATACACAGAAACAACACTGCACCTGTACGTTATCTCCATTGTAATGCATTGTTTACAGCTATAAACATAAAAGAAAATACATAAACTCATATAGATATTTACCTTTATCTTATCTTGATCATTCTGGCACGAACCACTGTCACAAAATAAATATAAACAACTGCAGTATTGTTTTAATACGGAAGTGTCTTACTCATGAAAACATGCGCAGTCAATCTCTCTATGTATCCCATCAATTCGTTCCATATGCTTATTCGGTCCTCTGATTTTCTCCCCCACTCTCTCTCTCTCTCTCTCTCTCTCTCTCTCTTGACTGTATATATGTGTATGTGTAATTTACAAACTATCCTTATTTATATCTATATCAATGTTCACATTGTTTATATACATTGTAGTAATTATCATTGCAATAGCCTGTAACATGATAAACCATGAATTTACTAAAAAATGAGAATTCCATAAACATGATATATATTTTCTAAATATATAATTATAATTTTTTTTTAAATAAATTGCGTTTCATCTCGTTTTTCCCGGATGTGAGCTGTTTGGCAGAATTACAGCGAGTTTACATGTGTTTAGGTACGTTAGATGTGTTTAAATAAAAGTAGGGTTATCGTCCAGTAATTTTCTACCATATGACAGAAAATCGTGGAAAGACAGTACGATTATTGGTCTTTCCCCTAGCCAATATTTAAGATTTTCCCCGTTGAAGTTAGCTTCCCCCCCCCCCGAAAAACTTTTTGAAATAAGGTCCAAGTGATGAAGTGAATTTTTAAAGCTACACCGTGACGTACAAACGGGAAATATCTTTGATACATGTACGTATTCCCATAAGCGTACATGTTGCAAGGCAATAATTATTGTCAGCAACTTTGAGGAATGAATCCTATATTTTAAATTTAATTTTTTTTAAATTAAAACAAGGAACTTTGATTTTTCTTCAGAGAACAAATACAGGTTTTTATACTTTTTTTCAAATGGGGGGGGGGGGGAGGATTGATTGATTGTATGTTATTTTACGTCCCGTTCGAGAATTTTTCTCATATAGAGACGTCACCATATACCGATGAAGGGCTTCAAATTTTGACTTTTACTCGGCACTGAGGTCCATTGAGCAGTGAGGGATCTTTAAATATCGTGCCAACGCTTGCAGTGACACGGGGCCTCGATTTTTAAGGTCTCATCCGAAGGAGTGATCACGACCTCCCCATCGCGGCCGCGGAGCGAGCGCTTTACCATGTTTACCGACTGAGCTACCGTGAACGGTAGGGTGGTTGAGGAGGGGTCTATAATAAAAGACGTACGTAACCAAAAAAAAAAAACAAATAAAATAAAATTGTAATATCTGAAAAGAAATTAAAACAAATGCTCAAAACCGTGACCATTAATTTGATGTTTGAAAGCAAAGATATATCATAGGATAGTAATATTATAATTTTACCCTTATTGCATTGGGCACGCAAGAAGTTAGTGTCAGCTCAGTTAAAATCAGAGGGGTTTTGTTTAAAATTTCTGGGGATGTATGTGAATTGAATGGGTTGATTATTTAAAAAAAAATGATTTTGACAAAGGGTACACGGCGGATGTTTATCCCTCCAAGGCAACTTATCCCACGTCTAATTCTTCAGAGGTCCGTGTTTGCTATGCTCGCAATTTGTTTAATTTTGTTTCATTGGATATTATTAATATTAGTATTATTAGTGTTCGTTATCTGTTCGCTATCTTGACAGTTCAATGTAATTAGGCATTGATGGGAAATAGAGAGAGCCGGAACAAATATGAGATGTTTATATATAGTAATTATAATATGAAATGTTTATATAGTAATAATAATGTTTATATAGTAATAATAATTAGAAATGCGTATAGTAGGAAGGGTGTAAAAAGGTCTATGTTTACCTTCTTCTTAAAGGGAAAATGTAACATGCAGGGTATAGTATCATGTTGTAAATTTTGAATTTACTAGGGGAGGTAAATGCAAAATTATTTTGTAAATTTTGCATTTACCTCCCCCTAGTAAATTCAAAATTTACAACATGATAGTAGGGGGGCACTTAATTGCCAAGAAGAACTTGCAAATTATGGATTTATCTCTAGAGTTTTAGATTTATTTTATGATTTTATACTTAGTGCCAAATTTCAGGTGAGTCGAAGTGGTAGAATATGTTTTAAAATAAAAATGTTGATTTGTGATGATCTCTTGCAATGGGGAAGGGGGGGGGGGGGCTATTGTATTCGGAAAATCGAAAGGTTAGAGTGAACGAAATATCTACGTTCAATTGATAGTATTAAACTATCATAGATTAGGACAGGGCAAATTAATTCTTTGTTTTACATCCCCTGACAGGTAGGTTTTCAGGAATACAGGGTTAAAAGGGTTAAAAAAAGAAAAATATAACTTTGTCAAAGTGTTCAAAAGAAGATGGGCGAACAAGGCGAGCGAAATGCCTATAGTGCGACAAACATGAAGGTGAAAAATTAAGTCTCAATTATGACAAAATTTTCTTTGATATTTCATATAACATTAAAGTATACTTTATGTAAAATCTCCACAATTTGCAAACATCTCACAAAGATTGAAATTATTTGCTTATAAAATATACACACACTAAAGAGGGCAAAAAGGACCATGTTCTCATACTAAAACACAATTTTTCGATATATTTGAGAGGGTCCTCCCTCCATTTTTTTTTCTTTTGAAAGTTTGTCCTCAAAGTTTGCGTAAAAATATACATTTTTTGCTTAACAAAACATGGAGAAAAGACCCACCATACCTTAAAAATACACTTTTAATCTTTTATCACACAATACTCACATCTTTCCGAGAAATACTTAGTCAAGGGTCATATCACAAACATGATTTAAATGCCAGTATTCATCAGAAGTTGTGTATCGTAGTGGTTCGCGTGTTAGTCAAAAAAGATTAAAAAAAAAAAAAAAAAAAAAAAAAAAAAACGTGTTCGTCTCAAAGGAAAATGATACTCAGGATTTTTGTTGTTGGGGTTCGAACCCCTTGAATACCACATTATTTTTTTAATAACAGAAAAATATTTGCCGAGAATATTTTCCTCAGAAAAGTTTTGTTTGTCGTAAATATCAATAATGAGAACTTTACTCTAACTACCGGTATTAAATTCATAAATAGAGTTTGACTTTTATATATCTGAAGCTATAGGCATTCTGCACGCCTTGTTCACCCATTTTCTTTGTTCTTTGTATTTTTCGGAAATATTAAAATCCATTTGATTTTAAGGCTAAAGTATCGTCGAGAAAAAAAAAAAACAAATAAAAATAATCAAGAAAGCAAAACTTAAGGAAATTCAAGCGTGTTGAATCAAGAACTTTGTGAAATTGCAGTTTTTGATATGATTAAAGTACTTCAAAATAGAGAATACAACTTGTAACAGTCTTCTTTTTCAATTTGTAGTCAATATTTTTGCTAACTATTGACTGATTTTGGAAACTTGTTTTTTTTTTGTCGGACCTGGGGGGGGGGGGGGGGAGGGGGTACCTTTTCAAACAATTAAGGGGCGTGAAACACAGAGATATTACTTACATCGGCCTTAAATTCATACATTAAATTGTACATGTACTAGTATACAATGTAAGAAGAAAAATTTCATGACAAGGAAAGCATGAACTTTTGTTTAACGGCTAAAAATCGCTATTTTTCAAAATTAATTTTAAATACAATTAATTCCAACTGAAAAAAGAGAATTCCTGGCAGCAAAATAATGGACTATACTAAAGGAAATGAATGTCATAAATGACATCTGATGTGAAGAAATTCTTGGTAAGAGACTAATCTCCTTCTTCTATTAATCTGTTTAGAAATTTTCACCGCTACCGAAGTTGTTGTCTGTCCTTGTCGTACAAAGTTATATATTCTAGGTTCAAGGAACAATGACAATCAAACGTTGCAGAAAAATTTAATATGGTCTTGACGCCAGTACTATATATAGAATTTTGTGTGATCCGAGATCTGAATTGGTTTAGAGAAATAATCTACGTCGCTATTGCACTGAGAAAAGGGGTTGAGTAAGTTGAAAGTAGGCAAGTTGATAGATACATGTATATAAAGACTAGCAATTACATTGACCTTGACCAGCTTTTATGATAAAAAGTCAGAAGTTCCACCATAGGTACTCTCATGTTTCTACAACTCTTCATTTAGAAGGTTTAGATTTTAACAAAGAGAACTGAAGACCCAAGATCCATCTCTCAAAGTTGTTGCCATTAATTGTGAATCACTTATTGGGGAATTTCAATATCAACATTAATTACATATATGGGGTTCACCCCAAAGCTAGACTGGACATATTTTCTTGCCATGAGAGATGCAATGGAAAATATGGAATCAAAATAAATCTGTATACAGGGTTATTTTCGCCCTTGAACACTTGCAAACAATTATGCCCTGCTTTAAATTCGCCTAGACAAAGTTTTGTTTAAGAAATTATGCTTATTTAAATTCGCCCACTAGCAACGAGGGCAAAAGTAAAACGGGGCGAAAATTTTCCTGTATATAGTATATCTTGAGAACCCTTTGCCAACAGACATCAAACTTGGTATACTGGTACCCTTTAAGGAATTGATGACTCCTATATCGAACTTGGTATTGTGGTTGCCCCTGACTAGTTTTCTCCATCATTACAACAAATTGTAAAGTTTATCCTTTTCAATGTTGCTACACAGGGGGATCCTTTTCAGTGCTGCTACACAGGGGGCCCATGTTTCTAACATTGTTTGTTCATCTTAAAAGTATACAGGCTTAACAATTAAAATAAAACTACCAATTGCAGAATAATGTTTTATTACACACAGAAACTAAATATGTAATAATTTATAATCAAAAAATGAATTTAGAGCAAACCCAGAACATCATTGCACCAATCAAGAAACTGCCTAAATAGTCTAATTTAGATAGTATGGAAAAAAACCCATCAATCTGTTAGCATTCCAAGTACCACAAGCTGACTGAATAGCCCTGACCATAATTCCCTTATTTGTAGACAGAGTGACACAGATCTTCAATAATCAATACACACAATTAAGCTATACATGTAAAGCACCTACACATGTAATTGATTATAGTCGAAAGAATTTCACGTAAAATCAAAAGGGGATGCAGGCTTTTAGCTCAGCAATCATATTCGAATTTATGCAGATACACCAAGCTTAAAAGATACTTCCTTGTCTATCATTT